TGCTGTTTTTATCACAGTGGCTTTGTAGTATAGTTTCAAATTGGGGTTTGTTATACCTGCTTGCATGTCTCTTTTACCTAGGATGGCTTTTGCTATTCTAGGTCTCTTATGGTTCCAAATGAATGTTTGGATTCTTTTTTTCTAGTTCTGTGAAATATAGTGTTGGAATTTCTATTGGCATTGCACTGAATCTGTATAGCAGTTTTGGTAGTATGGCCATTTTCACTAAGTTGATTCTTCCTACCGAGGAGCAGAGGATGCATTTCCATTTTCTTATATCCTCTTCGATCTCTTTTTTCACAGTGCTATAGTTTTCAATGTAGAGGTTTTATGCTTCTTTTGTTAGATTGATTCCTAGAACTTCATTTTTTTTGGATGCTATTGTGAAAGGAATTGTTTCCCTAATTTCTCTCTCGGTGACTCTGTTATTTGTGTACAAGAAGGCTGTTTATTTTTGGGTGGTGACCTTGTATCCTGCTACTCTACTAAATGTGTCAATTAAGTCTAGAAGTCTTTTGGTGGAGTTTTTTTGGGTCTTCAATGTAGAGTATCATATCATCAGGAAATAATGACAGTTTAACTTCTTCCTTTCCTATCTTTATTGCTTTAATTTCTTTCTCTTGTGTAATTGCTATGGGTAATGTTTCCAGAACTTTATCGAAGAGGAGTGGAGATAGTGGGCATCCTTGTGTTGTTCCTGATTTTTAGGTGAAGGTTTTCAGTTTTTGGCTATTTAATATGATGTTGGCTATTGGTTTTTCATTGATAGCCTTTATTAAGTTGAGATATAGACCATCTATTTTAATTTTTTGCAGGGTTTTTTTTCGTGAGTGGGTGTTGAATTTTGTCAAATGCTTTTTCTGCATCTATTGAGAGTATCATGTAGTTGTTATGCTTCTCTCTGTTAATATAGTTTTTATTCTTGACTTTGTTAATATAGTGTATTACATTGATTGACTTACATATGTTGAACCATCCTGGATCCCTGGAAGAAATCCAACTTGGTCAGGATGTATGATCTTCTTGATGATCCTCTGTATTCTGTTTGCTAGTATCTTATTAAGGATTTTTGCATCTATATTCATTAAGGAGATTGGCCTGTACTTCTCTTTTTTATTTGCGTCTTTTCCTGATTTGGGAATCACAGTGATACTTGTCTCCAGGAATGAATTTGGAAGTATTGCTTCCCTTTCAATTTCATTGAAAAGTTTGAGGAGTAATGGCAGTAGTTCTTCTCTAAATGTCTTGTAAAATTCAGCAGTGAATCCATCAGGGCCTGGGCTTTCTTTGTTGGTAAATATTTAATTACATTTTCAATTTCACTGATTGTAATTGGGGTGTTTAAAATGTATTTATCTTCTTTCTTCAACTTTGGTAATTCATAAGTATCTAGAAATCTGTCCATTTCTTCTGTGTTTTCCATTTTATTAGAGTACAGGTTCTCAAAGTAGGTATTGATTATCCTCTGGATTTCTGTTGGATCTGTTGTGACTTCCTTTTTCATTCCTAATTGCATGGATCTGAGCCTTTTCTTTCCTCTGATAAGATTAGCTAAGGGTTTGTTGATTTTATTTATTCTTTCAAAAAACCAACTCTTTGATTCATTTATTTTTTGTATTGTTTTCTTAGTTTCCATTGCATTGCTTTCTGCTCTTATCTTTATAATTTCCTCTCTTGTTCTAGCTTTGGGTTTTTCTTGCTCTTGTTTTTCTTGGAGTCTAAGAGTCATCATTAGGTTGTTTATTTGAGCTCGCTCTGTTTTCCTAGTGTGCGCAATCAGTGCTATGAATTTTCCACATAGAACTGCTTTCATTGTGTCCCGTAGATTCCTGTATGTTGTATTGGCATTTTCATTTATTTATAAAAATTGTCTGATTTCTTTCTTAATTTCCTCTGTGATCCATTGATTTTTCAGGAGAGTGTTGTTCTATTTCCATGTGTTTGTGAAGTTCCTATCTCACCCATTTTATATTCCAATTTTTCATCTCTTTTTAGGAGTTTTATCATCTAGACTTCCTCTTACATGTTTTTATTTGAACTTTCTTATATAGTATTAAAGTGTTGTTTAACTGTTCCTTTTTGTAGCACTTTTTTCTTATTTCACAGCTGCAAAGTATTTGTGGGAACATCAGTTGTAATTCTTTTGAAGTTCTTGTCTCTGAGTTACTTTTACTTTTTGTTTTTTGTTTGTTTGTTTAATTTCATTGGAAATTTTCCACAGATACATGATTAGCTTTAGCTGCCTATAGATATTTAAGAGAAATTCTTAAATATAAATGGGTGGAGGTTGTTCATTTTTGTATTTTGTGGTGGGGTGATAGGATAACAAGGTGGATTTTTACTAAGGACCCCCAAATGTCACTTTCTTATAGCATTTATATTAGACCATTCCATTTGTCCAGATGTGACTTCAGTAGTCTCTTGCCCTGCAATATATAAGCATAGAACAGAGTCAGAAAATCAAGGTGACCCTCAACTTCTGCCCTCTTTTTCCTATGACAGACTTCTTGGTCTGCTTAATTTCTGCAGAAAATGACTTCCCAGTGTGCTGCCAGAAAGGAAGCAGTAATGATATAATTGCTTGGTTGTCAGGATAGGAAATCTAAAGGATGGGGTACAAGGTGGGAACTTATCATCATTAAATATAAACATTCAACTAACCCTTTTCTTTTCAACCCTTCATTCTCTGTAATACTTTGTGCCTCCAATGGTGGCCTTTCTCAGAAATCAACATTAAACAAACTCACTTATTGTTAGCTTCTACCTCTTCAAAAACCCCAGTGCCAGCTCTCTCTCTCCTGGTTTCTTAGTCCATATAGATTTATACCTTTTCAATCCTCTTTATTAATAGTTTAGTGGCATTTTGAGCCTGACTTTTCATGTTTAATCAGGAGAATTGTTCTTAAAGGACGTAATTTTTTTATACTTTAAGGAATTGAGAACATGCCCCGATTGCTTAACTAAAAAGTTACAGCTTTTTATATATTTTTGAGGGGTCATGTACTTCTTCAGATTACACATTTAAGATTATTATAAAGAAATGACATTTCTTATCAACTATCAGCATCATATCCTATTGGAATAGATTTGTAGAAATGGTTAATGGCCTGGCCTGAGTCTGCCACATCTTTTTTCCCTTTTTCTTTAAATGTAAACATTAGCACTCATAAGGCAGCTGGAAAAGCCTTCTCACTTCTGTGGAAATTGACCCTATAAATGACCCTTCTTGAACACTCTACCCTCACCTGAAGTAACTGCTCTCAGAAAACAAATATTATATATAGCATTTCCTTTAGGATGACCTAAGAATTAAAACAAAACATTTAAATCTGATGCAGTGTCTTCACTACAGCAGTTCTTCAAACATATTTCTTATGTACAGTTCAGAATTATATTTTCATTTTTTCTTCCAGAATTGAGGAATTCTTGCATATCCTTAAAACAGAGCCCATTTTTAGATTTAAGACATGTTTGAATTAATCATCTTTGTAAAACTAGCATAACTGTATCTAACACATTTAACATACTCCTAGACAATACCACCATATGGTAAAAAAGAAAATGTAAAATAATTCTGACCTTGCTTTCCAAAAACCCTTTTTGCTGATAGAGGGATATTACATATGCCTTCATTGTATCCTCGCCTTTGCCTTAGCATCATGAGCTGATTGCTGCCTGGTCTGTAATTGGACCCTTTGGCCATTTGTCAGATTCTGTGATATATTAATGGCCCAGGCCTCATTTCTTACTGGTATGTACTAATACCAAATTGACATGTATCTACAGCCATAAGACATCCAAGTAAGAAAAGCGATGATGTCTTTCTTTTCTTTAGTCATGATGCAATTGCTCTTTGCAAGTTTTTTGATAGAACTGAGAAGCTAAAATTCTAAGATTCTCCTGTTATTTTAATTCTAAACCTTTTGAATCTACTTCACCTCTTAACTAAAACAGAGTCTAGAAATTACTGATCCTTGGCCTCGTATTTTGAAGAAGTTATTTAGCATTATATCTCTGTCTGATTTGAGACCATAGGCATTCCTAATCCATCAGCTGTTTGAAATCTTTCATAGAAAGATTTATGTGATCATTTTAAATGGAGCCAGTGAATATAAGATTGCTTTAGTTAGTAGGTCACCAGCTTGCACAGACAACTCTCTCATTGGAATGGAAATTTAATCAAAAGAATACTCAGAATAAGTTTTTACTTATATTTTATATCTTACTTGGCAATCTGTTTGAAAATATTGCATAAAAGATCCAGCATAGGAAACATTTTATATTCCTGCTTGTAACATATATATATATATGGAAACTGAGGCATTCTACTTTATAAATCAAGGTCTTAGTCCACATTTCCTGTTTTTCTACCTTAAAAACTAAACTCAGGATAAAAATAGTACTAAACTGTGTAAAATACTCAGGGCGCAAGGTAACAAGCAAAATAAATTGCTGTGGATGCTGTGGTAAAGACTCAGACCATTAGCAGAGATATCATTTTATAATCACTATTTTTAAAACAATTGGTATAGCTAGTTTATTAAAATATTGGAAAGAGAAAAGAAATGGATAATACAAAATAATAAGCCAATGACTTGGAGATGTAGGCTCACACACAGCCAATTTATGGAAAATCTCAGTCACCCTAGGCAAACACTTTCTGCCACATCATAATTTTAATCACATCTCGTTCTGCCTGTATTTTACAAACTGGCCACTGTCTTTGTTTAATACACTGTACATATCTAGCACATATATTCACTCACTCACACATTTTGATCTTCATTCAAGGACTTTCCAGGCTTAAGTCATCTGCACTTTCTGGAGTTCTGTCAGTTCAGGCCTTTAAACTCCAGTGGGCATTCCAGCATCTCAGGCTCAGTTATTACCAAGGTATTGTGAAGAGTGCATACCTGGCAGAAAGTACATGAAAATTCAGATCATTCATTGACACTTCATCAAATGAAAATGAAAATTTTCTCATTTGGGTTTTTTTATAGCCTAAAGAATGTTTCTTAATAAAACCAAAAGAAACAAAAGAAGATGTCACCAAGACCAGGAAGAGGAAAAAGGTAATATTAACATTTTCTCACAGTGCTATGTCCCTGTGTAGTCTCCATCACATTTTTATATATCATACTTTGATGAAATATTATAATCCCCACTTTACAGATCCAGAAATTCTAAGATTCAGTGAGATTCAGTGATTTTCCTAAAGTCTCCAACAATAAGTATTCCTACTGGGACTAAAAATAAATTCTTTTAAGCCCTATTAGAGTTTTGTGGAGCACCAAGAACCTTTGTTACCCATCTGTGTATTCCTTGTGGTTAGTTGTTAAATGTGGGTTTCCAATTCTAGAAGTTCAGAGTTGTTCTCCCTTATGACCCCTCTGGATCTGTCCAAGAAAATAATTTACCAACCTTCTTTTCCTACACATCCTATTTTGAAGATCTTATATCTTAAAATATTAATCAAAAGAAAATAATAAGCACATGAAAGTAATATAAAGCATTTCTAACTAATTTGGAATCATAATTTTCAGTAAAACTCCCCCTTTATTTTAATATTTGCCTCTGAGTATAGAGAAGTCTCTGTTGCTCCTATGCAAACTTTTTTATGGAACAGCCTTAATATGGTTAGCTTTCAACTTCCACTACATTTATAAAAACAGCAGTGTAATTCTCTTTCTGCCAAGAAAATTCTACTGCTGATGTCAGCAGAGGAAATATGATTGGGATTAGAAGAAAGAGGATAGACTTAAACCAGTTACTTAACAGCAAGTTTTTAGAAAATCAAAAGTATGTGTGCATATGTTTTCTTTTCTCACAAATGGTCAAATAGGAAGACAGAAGGTGCCAAATTGGCTAAGGGCTGGAAAGTCCTTAGAGAAGTAACTTTAACTTCTCTTTGATAATTCATACACTAATGGCCTTCATGAGTGTTAAATTCTGGTGGCTCAAGGTCAGAACTCTAACTAGATAGCTTAGCCTTGGCTGAGGTCATGCTAAAATTGCCACTAATGACATATTTTTAAAAGTTAATACTTTTGACAGATCCTTGACAGTTCTTGGCAGTGGCACAGAAATAAGAATATTATGGAAAGAGGGAAAAGAGTTAGGGGTAGAAGAATGACTCCTTCTGGATCTTTGGTGAAAAGTTAGAAAGAAATGAGAAGGGAAGTTTATGATGAAAATGAAAAGAACAATAGTATTTTCTCAGTATATTGGAGACATTTAAAGCATTATAAAATGAGATCAAATAAAAAAAAATATCTGAAATTACAGTGAACCTTCAATTTACAAACTTGATCAGTTCCCAAGGACTGGTTGGTTATAACTCGTTGATTGTAAGTCAATACAGCTGAGATCTAGATGGTTACCTGGGAACATGCTATAGATAACAAGAGGCAGATTAATCTTCCATTAACCTAATTAACCCAACTTGTTTATATGTCAGACCGGTTGTAACTTGAGGGTGCACTATATTTCCTCTAATATCTACTTTACTTTCCATAAGGCCACTTTTAAGATTGTCAGCCTCCCAGAACTGGAGAATCAGGGATGTAATGTCCATAAGAGTGCAAAGCTCCTATGTGCATATTACTTCTGCAGATTTAGTTCAAATGCTATAAATTCAAACTAGGACTCAGCACCTCAAAATACAGGTGGGTAATGAATTCTCAAAATAGTACTCTTCCAAGACTAAAGAGAGCCAGGTGCAGTGGCACATGCTTCTAATCCTAGCTACTTGTAGGTGACAGGTTTGAGGGCAGCCTAGGTAATTTAGCAAAATCCTGTCCATAATAAAGGGGTGGGGATGTAAGGTTAGTAGCTTAATGGTAGAGCACCCCTGATGTCATCCCCCATACCACCTAAAAGGGGAGGAGACTAAAAGAGAAGTTCCCATAACAACCAGATTTATTGGCTTTTGCTGGAAAATACCATTATGAACTCTCCACCAAAATTCAGTTCTTTTAGAGTCAAATGCCAAGAGTTATAAGAGTTATCGGCTATCACCAAAAGGTACAAGCTGTTTAAATGTCAGAAGAATGAAACTAAGCCACATGTCATTCTAAAACCTACCTTGCTAATGTTTTTTCTCTCCTATCTTAGAAGAAAATTACTGATGTCCTTGCAAAATCAGAGCCAAAACCAGGGACGCCTAAAGATCTACAGAAGCTGGTGAATGACTATTATAGCAGTGATCATTCAGTGATTGAATTAGAAGAACTTAATCTACCAGGTACAGCCACGCTTAAATTTTCCTAAGAATGAAAAGCAAAATAGCTCACTTCTTCCTTACTGTGTTATGGTTAGGTATTCTGAGCAGTAATTAATGTATTATCCACGTGCTAATACTCCTTTCCTTGACTTGATAGACTTAGCAATTGCATGATTTCCTACTTAAAGTGACAAATAGTATTTGTTGAATTTAATACTGAGTGATTATAGTATTTTCTTTTCATAATTTTTATTATAGTATTTTCTTTCTGTGTTTAAAAGAGAAATTATAGGCTGGGGATTTAGCTCAGTGGCACCACACCTCCTCCCAAGTGCAAGGTCTTAGGTTTGATCCCTGGTACAAAAAAAAGAGAAAGAAAGATTGTAGCATATGTGCTTTTAGCAGACTCTTCAAGGAATAAGAAGTCCTAAGAAGGTTAGAAGTCAAATTAAAGATAAAACACACTTTTAAAAATATAGATATGCAACTTTGGTTGACTATGACTTTGCCATAATTAGCATCCTAGCAGGGATTTCCTTGGTATTGTTTTTAGGATAATATTTCAATATATAGCTCAGATTTTTTTCAAGCAAGCTATCTAAATGTAGTGAGAAAACTCTGCATGGGTAGCAAGGTTTAGAGATGATTAATCCAGGCAATTCTTTAGGTCTATTACAATTTCAAATCTACTGCCTTAGAATATTTATAATTAAAAGTTATTGCAAAATTAAAACAACTACTTTTAATCAATGTTAAATTTGTATATATTCTGTAACTCTTTTGGGCAAGGATAGACTAGAATAGATGTGGTCATAAAAGCAAACTATAAATAGGGTACTCCTGGTTAGATTATCTATTTATAGATGCTAAGAATAACTGATGCTACTTTTGGAAATAGTCAAGGTTTGCTTGATTTCCTTTTTCCACTATAACTTTATGTCTTACAGAAGCTTGAGAAGCTAAAAAATAATGTGTTCCCTGAATTTTTATAATTCTTTTTTGTGATATGCTTTTCTTTCTCAGTTCATATAGTTTATTGCGGTTAGCACACAGTTTAAAAATTCACCAACATAGCAATAGTACAAAACTAAGCAGCATTATAAGTTATTCCCCCTCAGGATAATAAAACACACTATGATTGTCAAAGCTAGATGTCAGTCTAAGTTTTGGAACAAAGGAAGAATGGGAAACTAAGAAAAGGAAGAAGCACTCACTCACAGTGACCACAAAAAGAAAATCCAAAAGAAAGTCCATTTTTCTCACAGACATTGATTGTCTTCTCTAAATTAATAAAAATTATTTTAACATAAACTGTATTTTTAAAAAACTAGAAACTCTTCAAGAAACTAAAGATAATGCTCCATGGCCATTTCACAGCTTTTTGTTTGTTTGCTTTAAATGCCATTACAGTCAAATTAACACACATTTGACCAAATATTTCCAAAACAGTCCAGCAACACACAATGGAGTTTTCCATTCAGTATCTTAAGCACAAAAATAGGCTATGCTTACAGTAGTTAAGGCAATCAAATTTTAAACAAAAGCAATTTTTTTAAAGGGGAAAACACCAAATGTTTTCCATGCTAGACCTTATTTCCCCTAGACCTTATTTGTAAGTGCAAGACTGGAAAGCCAACACTGTGCAAAATGCTTTTGCCCTGTGTGCTGGTCATTAAAACTACACATCATTGGTCTGCAGCCTCTACTGCCAATACACAGTCTACTAACCCCCTTCCCCATGTCAATCAAGGCAGTCCAGTCCTTTCACCTTGGGACTTTTTTCAGTCCATAGAATTTTTCCATGAGTTGGGATGTCGGGGAGAGGGAAGGGGGTTGGGGGTGGAGAATGACCTATTGTCAATTTGTGCAGTAGTTATTCTAAAAATGCTCAACTGGGTAAATGTGTACACCTAAATTTTGAGCTACCAAGGTTCTGTGCAGTTAGGAGTTTGTTATAAATGCACACTGCCCATGCAAATCTTTAAGCCATTTGTAAACATGTGTATGTTCCTTGTTATGCAATGAAATTAGCAGTTTGCAGCATAAGTTTTTATTCAACTTAACAGTTTCAACTTTAAGACAGTCAGAAAGTCAATTTAAATTATATAAAATAAAAATAAAAAAGTGCATTTACATTCTTCATAACACCAGTTTTTTCCAAATGGTGCTATTTTTCTTAGGAAATTAAATGATTTTAAACTCACTCGTTAAAAGTTATAAAATGCAAGCAAAGACAAAAATATATTGAACTCATGCCTTTCTTTAGAGTTCATATTTACTTTTTAAGACTCAACTAAGAGCATCAGCACAACCTGTCAAGTCCTTGACACCCCACCAGCCCATGTAAACAATTACAGTATACAAGAACAGTAATTCACATTTTTAAACACAGTTCAACTCTGCTGAAGCTGCAATATTCTTTTTCATCCCAAGCAAAACTTCAGAAAGACTGTCCCAGTGATCCCAGTGTACTTTCAGAATTTCTCTCACTGGGAGCTGTCAGAAAACTAGAAGTTTTTATTAAAATGTGCTTTTATTAAAATTGCACATTGGGTTTGGAGACGCGAGTGACCCCTTTGTTTCTTTTATAAGAAAATTGCCTTTGGGGAACTGAAGAGTGTTTTTGCACGTGAGCAAGGGTTTTAGGCTCACTGATCCCAGATGGCCCCAGCAACAATTAGAATCCACTCTTCTCAGCACCCAGCTCCTTCAGTGTGAGCTCCATGTCCTGATGGCTCTGTCACAAGAGCCAAGAGCTACAGTCAAAGCACTTCTTTTACTAAGTTGGGTCAGTTTTTACTAGAACGGTCAGTTTTCCATTCTTGTTCTTTGTTAGAGCATACTTTGAACTTAAGAAAGGTTTGTGAGTTAAAGAGTACCACTGCTATTATGTAATCTCCGGAATATCATAAACGTTGATTTTCTCCAGAATTGTTAGTGATAAAAGTCAAAAGAAACTTTTAAGCAATCTTCTAAATTCCAGTGCGAGTGTGCTATTGTTTTATTAGAATTCAGTAACAAACAAGAATATGTAGTCATAGGTTTGCTTAGAGAGTAAGAAAAGCATGTTAGAAATACAGGCTTTCATTCTCAGTAAAGATGCTGGGTCATGTTGAGACACAGTAAACTAAAGAATCGTTGAAGCTTTAGGAGAAGAAGCCCTGGGCCAGGGATTTAGCTCAGTGGTTCTACCACCTGCCTCACAAGTGCAAGGACCTGAGTTTGATCCCAGTACCAAAAAATTAAAAAAAAGAAGCCCTTGTTACTATCCTGATGAAACCAAGGAAAGAAAGGAAGACTGCTAGGTGAGAAGGGACCTAAGCATAAGATGGATATAAATAATAACATATCACTTCTATTTAGTGTGCAGGTGTCAAACTTGGCTTTAGTTTGAGGTTGTTTGTGTCTGTAAGTCAAGAATATGTCTTTTCAATTAACATTGTATGCTGTACATGTTAATCTCATACACACGGGCATTGATTAGGTTTTACTGGGAGCTAATAAACCTCTGCTGTCTCCTGATAACTCTAGAGTGGTTTAGATCAGTGATTCTAAATACTTTTGGCTAGCTGCAATCAAATAACCCGGGAACTTCTTTAAAAGCAGCCCAGGTCTGCTCACTATGCCATGGAGGATCTACCCTAGGAATCTGTATCTTTTGTGAAAAACTATCCTGGTCAGTCTGATCATATACAAGCTTAGGGGGTTACAGTTTTAAAGACCATCAAAAGCTCCACATCAGCATAAGATACATGATGTGAGTTACATGTGCTGAGTCACAATATAAATTTCATTTTATTTAGAAATAGTTTATTCCCTGACAGTCTGAGCAAGAGATTGATAATCATGATGTTGCTTTTTTATAATCTCAGGTGCAGAGTCAATACATACTGAGTCAGTTACATAACTGATACAGTGATGATTGTCTTTGGTCAACAAGGGCCATGTTTTATTTTAATGTGTTGTCTTCAATGTGAGTTTGTATCTTGATACATTATTCCCATTCTTTCCAAATAAACATTCTTTCCTTCCCTCATTCTAATATATTCCTATACATTTTCAAATATGTATATATTTTTATAAAATATGTCATGTTTCTGAGGATACGTTTTAAATTTTAACTAAATGACCTTGTACTTATCCCCATTCTGTTTCTTCACATATTTTTTAAGTATACCTTTGTGACTTTATGTACATCTAATTCATTGCAACTAAATCTAGCATAGTATTCCAATGTTTTCATCTACCAAATATTACTCATCCATTTTCCCATATATGGACACTTAGGCTGCCTCCCACATCTCAGTACCACAAATATTCCCAGGATATATCTTTATATATGTCCCTTAATAGATCACAGAAGAATTTTTTTCCTTTATTTGCCTCCAAGTTGAATTTCTTTCCATTATGTATGCTTGCATCCTTGGGTATATAATCTGAATGTTACTACTTTGCAGAAAAGTATGCCAGTTTACATTTCCACCTAAAGGTGATAAGCATGTACATCACCCTGTATTCTCAACACTTGGTATTATATCTTTCTTCTAACATTTGCCATTCCACTTGAGTGTTTTGTCTCATAGTTGTATTAATTTGCACTTATCTCTGATGACTAATGGGTTTGAGCATCTCTTATAGATTTTTTGGCTATTTCACTTTGTCTTTGTAATATTGCCTGTTCCATAGGTTTGAAAAATAAAAATGTTTCATCAGTCTGTTGAGTGATATAAAAAGCTTCTTCTGTTTTCCCTACTGTCAGAAATTATGGTTATGCAACCCAGGTATTCCCTTCTAGTTGTCTTCCCAAAAGAGTTAAAGACATCATATTACAGTGATATATACATTACCCATGTTTCTAGCAGCACAGTTTATAATAGCTAAATCTTGAAAGCTGCCTATATGTCCATCAACAGATGAATGAATAAAGAAAGTATGGTATTTATACAAGATGGACTCCTGCTCTGCCTCGAAGGATAACCTTGAGTCATTTATAGGAAAATCGATGTACCTTCAGATATATTAAGTGAAACAAATCAGACACATGAGCTCACATGTTGCATGGTTTCTCTTATGAGAAACACAACATATAAAGAACAAAATAAAGAAAGAATAAATAAATAGCAAAACAAAAGAGAGGACATAGGGAGATAATAATATGTTTTACAAAAGTGAAGTGGACCAAGAAATGGAAGGAAGGAATGAAAAGAGGAGAAAAGAATGAAGAGAAGAATTAAGATGTACATTTACCAACTCCCCATGGGGAATGTAATTATGTACTGTGTACTAATAAAAATTAAAATTGAAAAAATTTATGGCCATTTTGTGGAGGGTTAAAACTATTTCTCTTAATGCTATTGTTATCTTAAACACTTTAAAAAGCATAATGAGCTTCACTAATTTTTATAACTTGTAAAGAATACATCATTTATATTCAAACTGGTTTAATTGCATGTTTGCAGAATTTTCTACAAAGCCTGTTTCTCATATTTCTAGATTCCTGTTTCCTCAAGACCAATGATTTGACTCACAGTTTTTCATCATACCTAAAAGAAAGTAAGTAAACTCTAGTTTTTAACAAAATTATTCACCAGGATATTATTCTATTAAAAATAAGGATGTCTCTTTTTAAACTTTAAAAACCACATTTAAAATCAAAAGTTTCTATCTTAAGTGAATTTTTAAGTGGAGATTTTTTTTGGCTCCATCTTGATGTTAATTTTTAACCTATTTAAATTTATTCTTGTTTTGGTCTGGCATTGGAAACTTGAGTTTTGGTCTCACTTTTGTTTCATAACACATTGGAACTATTGGTCTAGGAACCTAGAGAATAGTGTTCTGGACCCATGTCCCCCAGTAATTTGTTGTTTGACCAAGGACAAATCACTGAATCCTCCCTTGGACTTGATTTTGTTAGTTAAGAGATAAGGAAGTTTGACTATAATTATGCCATACCAACTGTGAGGTCCTGAAATTCTTTTCACATGTTCAGAACTCAGAGCTATTCCAAAATCAGTCCAACTCAATCTTTTCAGTATGAATTGTGTATAGTCACAGATAACTAGATTATTCATATCGTGTTATCATTTATTTTGTGGCCAGTGATATTAGATGTAGAGATTTAACATTCTTTCAAATTGTAAGCAGTTCTGATGATAACTAACCTGAGTTCACTTACCTCTCAGCAACAAATTCAGCAAATGTAAGTGTAGGTAATAATAGAGTCAATCTTGCTATTATGTGAGCTTTAAAATGTATGTTAAGTGCTTAGAATACTGTGTGAGAACTATTGGCTTTTATTTAAATGTGAATTCCATTGTATGTTTTATTGTGGGTATCATTTTGAAATTTAACAGTATTGAATTAGAATTCTTCTCCTACTTAGTCAAGACTACCTTCAAGCCTCAAACAAATTAAAATATTGAAAATTTATTAGTATAAATATTTTTACTTATTTCAAAAATTAGTCACATTTAGGTGCTTGCTATAATATGTATTTTAATTAATTACATGTTATTCTAATTGAATATCCAGAACAATCAAAAAATAGAATTGCAATGAACAGCGATCATTATGTTCGTTTTGCTTAAACACTAACAAGTAATTGGAAAATACTCAGCTTTAGAAACTTTTGCTATAGAGTAAATTTCTGTGATTTGTTTCTATGTTTGTTTGTTTTAGTTTGTCCTAAATGGGTAAAACTTCGGAAAAATCACAGTGAGAAGAAGTCGGTCCTGATGCTGATCATCTGCAGCTCAGCTGTCCGAGCTCTAGAGCTCATTAGGTCAGAAGCTTCACCAATTCTACTTCTTTCTTAAGTGTTTGCGAAATAACTGATGCATGGCAACCTGATGTGTTCTACATGCTAGAGCTACAGCAATGAGCAAAACAGAGTCTCTGCCCTCATGGAACTTACTACAGTGGGAAGACAGATAGTAAGCAAGGAAACATATGTTATAATGTTAGGTAGAGTGATAAGTCATATGGAGAAAAAATAAAGTATGAAAAAGGAATGGAAGTAGATGGGGACTTTATAAAAGATTAGAGTCATAGAAACCTTCTCTAAGGAGATGTTTGAGAGGAGGCTTGAACAAAGTGAAGAAAAGAACTAATCCACCTTCTAGGAGGACAGTCCATTCAGTAGAAGGCACAGTAAACCTAAAGACACTAAGGAAGGATGCTGTTGAAGAAGTTTGTAGAGAGGAATCCTGGGATTTGAGCCATCACTTTAAAGGATCTTCAACTGATATGTGAAGAAATGCATTGTGGAGGACAGGGATGGACGAATGATAGAATACCAAAGAATAAACTTACCAAAATCTATATAAAGAAAACATCTACATATGAGATATGGTCAAAATTTACAGTGAATATTTTTAAATTTGTAATTTATTACAGTAATAAACACATATATCAGTAATAAACACATTACTATCCTTCTCAAAATATTTCCCCTTGAGTCATACACACTTATCCCATCATTTTGCCACTTTCTGAAGCACCTTTGAAAATCCTCTTTTTTTTTTGGCAGGATGAGGGGACTGGGTATCGAACTCTGGTCCTTGTGCTTGCAATGCAGGTGGCAAAACCACTGAGGTAAATCCTCAGCTCCAAAATTCCTCTTTCATGAATGTCTTTGAGAAATAGACTTAAATGCATATGAAAATGTAGTATATGGCTAAGGTGACAAATCAGAAATCAGCAGAGAAACATCGATTACTTAATAAATTGGTTTGGAGCACTGCATAGCTATCTGTAAAAATGAAGTTAGGTTCATATCTCATTTCTTAAACCAAGATAAATTTCATAAAGACCAATCATTTAAATGCAAAAATTTTATGTTACAGAAAAGTTGCCTATGTTTTTACTTAGCTTTTCATTTACTGCACTTTTTTTAGAATCAACAAAAAGCTCTCCATTGGTTCAGGGTAAAATTCAGCTCCCTAGAGAAGAACTGATAGAGTAAGATGGAATTTACTGGGGGTAACCCTTTCTGGGAGCCGGACTCTGACAGGAGACAAAACAAAGAAAAAAATCTGTCATGAAAAAAAAAAAAAAAAGAAACTTGGTCAGCTAGACTAAGCCATACTACTGTCAGCCCCTCAAAAGTTATTTGGAGTATATTTTTATAAATCATGATTTTAAAAAAATAATTGTTAAACTTTAATAGCTTTTCAAATGCTCCTTTTCCTATTTATGTACATGCACTAAATTGTATCACCTTCCCAGTAAAGCAAGTGTTCCTTTCAACTTGCTTCCAAATATAATTGATCTTCAATACCCCATTCTTGGGTTAGCTATATTTGTTTATCCTGAAGTCGGACCAATTTGCGTTGACTTTTCAGTGCTTTTAAAAGCCAACAACTATAGAATTCATCTCTGATTAAAATAATAATGGCAAAGAGGTTGACCTAGAGGTGAACTCTTAATAATAAATTGTCAAATTGATTTGAGCTTTTAATGTATATAAATTCTTTTGTAAGGGGTATAAAAGCACTGTGTTGTCATACTTCATTTATAAATTCTCACTATTTCTGTGTTGCCAGTAATATTATGATCCATTTCAAGGTTAAATGATTTGCAAAAGGTGACTTCTGAGCAGGGAGCACAAGCTATATTTATAAAGACTAATGTTCAATAATTCTAACTTTTATGAGAACATCTGTTCTCTTGAGGGATATGAGCTCTGTTAAATTGTCTTTCTGGTTAACTTTGCCATAGAGAAAGCCAATATGCAAGTAAAACCTCATTTTCAATAGAACTTGTATAGCATGATTCACTATTTTGTAAACTCATGTATTCCTGGTCAATGATATTTCTCAAAACATAATGATATATAAAAGAAAGTAATACTCCTATATTAGGTTGTCCTCATATCAGTTAAAATAGTTTCTACTGGGCTGGGGATTTAGCTCAGTGGTTCTGCTGCCTGCCTCGCAAGTGCAAGGACCCAAGTTCGATCCGTAGTACCAAAAAAATTATATTTTTGTTGTTTTTGTTGTTCTTGCTGTTCATTTATATCCACTTCAACTCATAACAGAATTTTAGATGACATGTAGAAATACAAACAACAACTGAAACAAAAACTGGTAACAAAATTGACATAAAGAAAAAATTAAATTCATAAAATCAGGTAAGTAAGGGTCATTGTTCAGACTCACTTCCGTAAAGTCCTGTTCAGTTGTGTCCACAATTTCTATGGGCCTATACATTCTAGCAGCCAGAATAAGTCAGGAAACATTACCATGTGGCAGATTCATAGTATTCTCTGGATTTAAAAACGGTTCCCTGAGAAATAGAGCTTTTTCTGTGGCACATAGTAAGAACATTATTGGTATCATCTCTGCAACAATGGGCAGAGGAAATAAGTGGCTGTTTATAGAGCAGCCACTGGTACAGGCTGAGGGGTCGCTCCGCTATAGCTAGTAAAAGTAGTTGTATAAGGTACTGACTAACCCTTCCCCAAGCACTGGCAGTCTGACTAGATGTAGCTAGATCCAAATTATTGAATACCTAGAAACTACATAAGCCAGCTGGCATGTAGGTAAGAGTTGCACATTAACAGTCCAAGGGATCAAGTTTGCCCCATAACTATTTCCTTTCTTAAAATTTTGAATGAGTTGCCCATCATTAAAATCAGAGTATATATATTAAAAAAGATGTGTGGCTTCTCAAAAAATCTGGTCTCAACACCAGGCCCACAATCTCACATCTTAATAGCCTTAGGTGGGACTGGCTGATCCCTTTACTGGGGCACATGCTCTCTGGTTCCCCTCCATCCTCACACCTAACTTCCCAATAGCCTCAATCATTTGTAATGCCTACCTGTTCTCATAGCCCAGTCAGCCAGTCCTTTGTGTCTGTTTTTTCTTTTTTTTTCCTTCTGTGCTTCCTCTCCATTCCCTTTCTTTCTTCATTTCTTTCCTTTTGGCTGAAGGATTTCCATCTGTGAAATTACACAGAGAAGCTCAGACTTCAGAGTGAAAATAGTGGGGCTGCTGATAGAAGGATATAAGCCTTCTCACTGTCAGGTCAACCCAGGGGTTTCCTGCACAGCTCCCACAAAGAGACCTTTGTAGATACTCTTAGGCTTTACAGAGTACAGGCTGATATTGCTTTTCTAGGATTTCTCTTGCAGCCAATTTTGTGTAAAAGTTACATTATAAAATTCAAAGATAAATTCTTCTCATAGGAGCATAAGAATTCTGTATGGTTAGAGAAAGGCAGATCCATATGTTGCAGAATTAAAGAAGTCTAACTGAGATTAACCTTAGGTATGACAGAAGCAAACCCAGCTATGTGCCTGAGTAAAAAGCCACCCTATTTCTGATTTTTTGTTTTTGAGACATGGTCTCACTATGTTGCCCAGGCTGGCCTCAAACTCACTATCTTGCCTTAACCTCCCATGCCAATTTTATTAAGAGATGGACTAACCTGAAAATTTCAGAATATTTCTGTATGGAAATAAACATGTGTATAAACATATATGTACATTCTTTAAAGCAAGATATAATACTTCAGTAGTCAACACAGCCCAGAATGAGTTTCTTAAGCATTAATATGTTCCTTTCATTAGGTCAATGACAGCATTCAGAGGAGAAAGCAAAGTTATAAAATTGTTTGCAAAACACATAAAGGTAAGCAAGGGTCTGTAGTTTCTGATGGAGGGGGTATAAGAGATCCCTAAGAGTCACTCCCAGACCTTAGCTTTTTCCCTTCAACCTCTTTTTCCCATTTTATATTACATATTTAGCAAGCATTTTGGTTTTCTTTGAATTTTGTGCTTCTGTATCTAGTACCCTACAGTAGCCACACCTCTGCCACATTTCGCTCTTTTACAGAAAGTGGCATTTGACCTTGGATTCATTGAGGGTTTGCCAGTTTTCTAGGGTTTTCTTCTTTGCTCTGGAAGTTGATCCTAATCAAGAGTAGTTATATTTATATTTGTTCCTTCTCCTCTGCCCTTAACTTTGAGATAAAATGCTTTAAATTGGCCTATGATTGTTTTTTATTGTTGTTTGGTTTGTGTTTGGTTTTTGTTTGTTTGTTTGTTATTGTTGTTTAAGGCAAGTTCTTGCCCAAGCTGGCCTCAAACTCATGATCCACCTGTCTCAGCCGCCTGAATACAGGTGATATAGCACACCACAATACCCAGCTGATTGACTTTTAAAATGATTGTTCCTTTCCTTTCTTCTTTTCTATATTGGAATAGGTCCAGGAGCAGGTGAAGTTGTTAGAGAAGCGTGTCGTGCATCTGGGTGTAGGAACTCCAGGGAGAATTAAAGAACTCATTAAACAAGGTATGAAAAGAGCAGTGATGCTGCTACCCAGAACTAAAAGTTTGCCTTACTCTCATGTGAAGCTAAGAAACTACATTTGAGATACAAAGAAATGTGATTTCTGTGTTAATTACCCAAAGGGAAACTGAGACATTAGTCTCTGAAGCCAAAAGTAAGTAAAATGCAATGAGAAACTATAAGTATTGCAGCAAACAAATGTGTTTTCCCACCTAAACACACTCAGAATTCTGATTGCTGTAAGAAAGTTGTAGATCCACAGGGCCTTTGTCCACCATTTTGCATTCTCTGGACTTTGTAGAACTGGATGTGTTGAGTACTTACTTCTTAGGTAATTGAGTCTTGGTCACTTGGGATTCCCATTCTGTTTGAAGCTGGTATATAAAACACATTCAAGGTCCTTGTCCAGTGAAACACCCTGAGCCAGGAAGTCAGTGGGTTTCCCTTGTCTCTTTGTGGTCTAATATGGTGTGAACTAAAGCAGACATTGTCCCAAGCACTTACAGGAAATTGGTGAGCTCTCGAGCCCCCAGGAAGTTACTGGGTTCCTCCACCTCTGCCACTAATTCTACATTACTTTCATTGAGGAAAACTGAAAATAAGTATTCACAAGAAAATCTACTTTGTGTATGTCCAAAACCCAAGTAGCAAAATGAATTGGAGAATTCTTCAGACTTTCCCCTAAAGATTCTAAAAAAGAGAATCAAATTCCTGAAGAGCCAGAAGTAGTAGCTTAGGAAAAACAAAGAAAACATCAATCCTTTACAACCTTATTACAGCAATTATGAAAAAAGAATAGAACCTTCTTATTCATCTTTGAATAATGTCTCCTATTACTCTGGTATTCTATGGTCTAAATTTGTATACAGGTGTTCAATTAGCTTTGTAGGATAGCCTTTAATTTAAAATATGAAGCTAAAATGTAGTTATTCAAAATCAAGCAGTTATGATCAGAGAATATGTTAAAAAATTATGGTTATTTAGCTTAATGTATTCATTATATTGCCATATGTTTCTTTTACCTGTTACTAAGCTTCTTGTTCTTGCTAAAACAAAATCATTGCATGACGTTCTATTTATTAATCTCATGCATTTGATATTTGCTTAGGTCTTTATACTGATGCCATTTTTACTGGCATCTGATTTGGAATAGTGCCATATTTTTTACGCCTTCTAGTTGCTTTAAAAAATATGAAAAAAGGAAAAATGGAAACAAGTTTTTGTAAATAGGGAAGAATGAAGGGGGTGAAGTGATGGCAGGGGTATGGGGAAAAAAATAAGAACCAATATACATCATGTAAAGGTACATGATTCCAATAATAAATGCAACTGTATTGTTTGCTTTAAATGTACCAATAACTTAATGGGAAGGAAAAACAAAGTTAGACTTTTTCCCATTAAGAGCATAAGCATTAATTAAACTTAATTTTTATTATTCTTCAGAAAGGGGCCAAAGGTGTAATATTGAAAATTTTTGAACAATTGTCTTCATTTTAGCTAAAGGAAGACAATTTAGTCTTGAAGGTTTAAATAGTTGATAATCAAAACTTTTAAGACAACAACAAAGCTGAGTGTGGTGACACACACCCGTGATACCAGCTACTGGGGAAGCTGAAGCCGAAGGATCATAAATTCAGCCTAGCCTGGGCAACTTAGCACGACCATTGTCAAAATGTTAAGAAAAAGAAAAGAACTGGGTGTGTTGTTCTGTGGCAGACAGCTTGCCCAGCATGTGTGAGGCTCTGGGTCCAGCCCCCAGTACTGAGGGTGGGGTGAAACAAACCAACAAAAAGATAAAATACTAGCGTAGAATCAGAAACAAAGATTACATGTATATAAAAAGAGAGGAATTTTCCTTGGATATACATTTGATTCAGTTTCATAAAGTATTACCTTTCAACCTTATATTTTAAAGTTGGAAAAAATAAAACATGATAAGCAAATCATGCCATAGCCCAGAACTATATCTGAAATTCTTGGAGTTCCCACTACATTTCTCAAGATAACCAGCAGTATAATTGAAGAAGTGTGTGTGTGATATTGTTAACTGATGTCTTGCTTCCTTATAACACTTTTTGCTTAGTGTCGGGCTGTCAGTTTTCAAAATAACCTTGTTTTCATAAGCATGTTTTTCTGAAATTTGTTTAAAATAATTGCTTATTTTTACAATATTCTAAAAAATATCTAAACAAAAAAATGTAGTTTCTATGGATAAAATATGAGTATTCTGGAATAATCCTCCCCAACTCTTTTATTGCTATACCTACCAAGTATTCCAGACAAGATCCACCAGAGAATTTTTAGTTTATTGACCTTCTCTAAGCCTCAAAAAAAAAATTTTTAAGCCCCTGCACTCTAGAAACTGAAAAAATCTAACAAAGTGAGACTAACAGTACATAACTCATTTTATGTAGCTATATATGGCTTAAGATATTTAAATGGCTGATATATAAGGAGGGTTTCCACACATTGGAAGGTATCCCATAACATTGGGATCTGTACAATTGCAGCCTGAATTTTGTTGTTTTAATTTAATAATGACAGGCATCTTCTGACTGCGAGACAAGAAAAACACAAAAAGGTAAAGAAAAAAAAATCATCTTAGAGCAACATCTTATTGGCATAATGAATATATTTCTTTTCAGTCTTTTTTTATCTTATTGAATTTCTTTGTACCTTCAAAGTATACAGTACAGTTATATTCATCATTAGGATCTTGTACCTTACATGAAAGATCTTGGTTCTCATTTTTTCCTCAAACCCATTCCCTCCCTTCACCTCCTCCAACCTCCCCTACTTACAAAGACTTTGTTTCCATTTTTTCCTTTTCTCATATTTTTTCTTGTCCCTTATTTCCTTTCCCCGACCCTTCCCACTTCCCCTACACCTTTAGCCCTTTTCTTCCTATTTCACATTATCAGTTATATAATTTGGATCTTATTTACACTTTTAGTTTTTACACCAGAGAAAGTATTCAGTATTTACACATGTGTGTCTTATTTATTTCACTTAAGTGTATGGCCTCAATATGCGTCCATTTTCCTATGAATGACTCTAGTTTCTCATTCTTTATGGCTGAGTAATATTCCATTTCGTAGAAAAACCACATCTTTATCCAGGCTCCAACTGATGGGCAATTGGGCAGTTTCCAAGTTTTAGCTGTTACAAACTGTGCCACTATAAATATGGGTGCAGATATATCACTGTGGTATGATTCTTTTAATTCTTTTGGAGAGATATCCAGCAGAGGAATAGCTAGGACAAATGGAACCACTAATACTAGTTCTTTGAAGTATCTCCATCTTTTCGGTCTTTTTTCTACATATTTATATATTTTTATAAAGCAGACATCATAGTATATCATACTTTTACAACCTATTGTTTTCACTTACTATATCTCATCAGACTTGTTATAAAATAGGTTTATGTTTTTCTCTATAATATCTTTATAACAACCTATTGTAAAGTTATATTTTTTGCAATATTTTTATGGTAGGATACTTGAGTCTTTTCTAATTTTCATGATTACAGTGGTACCTAAGTTCAGGAACTGAATTCTTTCCATGTTTGTAGAACAAATTCTACACACAGAATCATGGAAAAAAATCATTTCATGAATCAAGGTACCAGTGTATATATAACACTGCATTGATCATCTTTGCAAGTAAGTTTAAGTTTCTAGTGTTTCTACGGAACACCACAGAAGGAAAACTATTTTGTCAAGCAATAAGCATTTTAATGCTTTTATTATATAATGCCAACTTTCATTCCAGACTTGCTTCCCACCAGCAGTAAATTATTTTTAAAGAAAGACTATCACCCTATTATCTTTCTCAGTTCAATATTTTCAGTTTTATTTTGCAGAGAAATTTTTAAATAAGATATTTTAATTGCAAGAGATATGAAACAAGTATTGGGGTCAGAGAGAAGAATATTGAAATAGCTAGGGGAAATGCTGAGAACTGCTGCAGCAGAGGAAGGCTGCAGGCATTTGCAAGTTTGACAACCAACAACTTGGAGCAGGAGGAAGAGCTGTGTGCCCAACTCCCAAGACCTCTGAGGATTGGACAATCCCTGAAGTCTCCTCCAACCCCACATTCAATAATTGTTTTCTAGATAGACAGGAAAACAGAGGCAATGGAGTCTAAGTTATTGACCAGCCTCATCAAAAGATAGCGGACTTTGAGTAGAGCCCACTCATGGAAACTTCCTCTTCCACCTAAAACCCACCTGTCCTCCTTCTCATGCACATTCCTCTGTCATGCATATTCTGTTGTACTCCACTCCTCTGAAAGGACACTGCCTCCACCTGCAGGGTAGAATTTATCATATCCCTGTCAGGAAGGAGTCACCACATTCTGGGTTTCATGAAATGGAAGCTTGGCCAGTACACGAAACTGCATGGGGCAGATTTAACTGAAACAGCCCATCTGCCTTCCTCAGAAGCTGTGAGAGGACTTCAGGAGAGCCAGTCCCAGATGCTGCCTCAGTTTCCCATCAGGCAAGGGCAGCACTTAACATGCAGAGATTAGTTGATGGGGGAGAGGACAGCAAGTGAGGCAAAAGCAACCAGAAAAAAAAATCATTTTAATGTTTGTTATGAGGTCTTTACTTATAACAGCTTTCTTGCTGTCTCTTTCAGGTGGCCTTAACTTGAACCCCTTAAAGTTTCTGGTTTTTGACTGGAACTGGAGAGATCAGAAGTTGAGAAGAATGATGGACATTCCCGAGGCAATTGTCTTTTACCTTTTGTTAGTTGTTGTTGTTTTGTTTTGTTTTATTTTCAATTTGAACTTGACTTCAAACAGTAGTAAAGTCTTTGACATGGTGAGCTAGTATATTTTGGCTTTTGAAATAATTTCTGTCTTTTAACTCGGAGGAATTACAGTTGTGTGGGCTACCCCAAGCCTTTGCATATAACTGTGTCTTTCCCATTTACTGTAGGATTCTGCTTTGTTGCTCAATAAATGACCAATGACCCACTTGTCCCCTAGGAAAACATATGTACTTTACCTTTGAAAGCCTGGAAGATTTGAAGACTTAGTACTTTTCCTGTGATGTCTTTGCCTTTCATTTTCATCTGTGTAATTCCGGAGGAGGAAGGGGGACACAAACTTGCTTCATTGCTGGCATCTCCACATCCCCCAAAACTCACTTATTTAATTTAGGAAGATGTTTTGGTCTTCTGAGATGGAAAAATTTCTTGATGTCCCTATAGATTAGAATCAGCTGATTGAATGCCTTTGCGGGGACAGCATTAGCTCATTATGTATTTATGAAAGCCATTCATTACTGTCAAAATGTGAAAAATTGATTTTGCTGCCCACCATGTGATTACGCACCTATGATAACACAGGACCAATTTTTCAGTCTAGTGTAATTTTTTAAGTAAATGTTAGGAAAAAAAAAAGATGTACTCAGTAACAAACATGGCTGCCAGTCTCCAACCAGGAGTAAATATTGGCAGTAACTGTCAAAGAGAACTGGAATTACTTCTCCAGCAAAATTAATTTATCACATGAAACTATGTTCCTAGATTAACCAAACCTGATTTATTGATGAGTAGTATTAGTGCAGGTTCAAAGACAATTCACTTAGTTCCCCACATATACATATACCACACACACAGAAATACACCCTGCAATCTGCCCTCTGGTTTTTAAAAACTAGTAAACAAATTTGATGTCAAGAACATGAAGCCATATTTTTGTAATAGCTTTGAGTCTGAGTAATCTACTAGTTTTCTGATTATAATAATGAGAAATAATTCCAAAAAATGTTGCCATCACAGTGGTGCATACCTGTAATCCGAGGACTCTGGGAGGTTGAACTAAGAAAATCACAATTTGAACCCAGCCTGAGCAACTTAGCAAGACCCTGTCTCAAAATAAAAAAGCTTTAAAAGGCCAGGGATACCGTTTAGTGCAGGAACCCTAGGCCATTCCCCAGTACTGTAAAAAATAAAAAAACTTTAAAAATATTGTCATCGGTCCAGGGATTTAGCTCAGTGTTTCCTCCACTTGCCTGGCAAGCACAAGGACCCAAGTTCGATCCCCAATACAATCATAGTTGGTTTTATTATGTTTATGCCATTAATAGTTAGCCTAAAGCAATAACATTGGAATGTTGTATATAATCTGGGTTATAGACAGAATACTTTGGAGTTCTTAAACCATGTTTGCATGACATTTTATTTTGAATGTCTGCAAACAAAAAGACACTTTTAATGAAACTGATGTTTTATAAAGTGCCTCTTTATAAAATCACTTTATATGACTCTTTCAATTTAGAATCAAATAATGAATTAGAACTTTTGTACTCTGATTGTGGCCAAAGCAGCTGTGTAAATACTCGGGAGCTCAGATGGCTGAATTTTTTTACCATCTTTGCTTGACCTTAACCTTTTTTTTTTTTTTTTTTTTTTTTTTCTTCTCATTTAGATAAGAAAGGAGGTTTTTGAACTTCTAGAATTGGGAGTACTCAACCTATGCAAGTCAGAATCCTTGAAGCTAGGCCTTTTCTAATTCTGGATCCTAATGAAGACTCCAGTCTTCACAGTGGAATTTGCATCTTATTTAATGATGTTGGCACATTGCAAGCACTCAGTAAATCAACTATTTCTTTTTGTTATATTAACTGCATCACTGGGAATACTTGATGGGGAGTCTCTGAAAAAAATGAATCTATGCTTTTGCCTATCCCCTTGTATAATAAAGAATCACCAGGCTGTGTGTGAATTTTGTTGAGACGACCGAGGCCTTTTGTCATTGAATACACAGAAGACAAGAGTACCTGAACAACCTGACGCAAGCCCCTTCCTTCTCTGTGCCTTGGTCTCTCATCTGCTTGGAAATGGGAATATTTCACAGGACTGTTGAAAATTTCATGAGATAGTACCTATGGGGCAGGTTTATAATCTGTGAAACAGGGTCCCAACATGAATAACTAGTAAGAGCCACAAATGTGTGTGTAACTTTATGATCATTGGCAGTAACTGTCGAAGAGATTTGGAGTTACTCCTCCAGATATGCTGAATGAATTAATAGTGTAACTATTATAATTATTAATATAACATTAATATTTATAATAGAGTGATTATACTATTATAGCTATTGCAATTATAACTATTAATTAATAGTATAACTGCAGGTGTCTTAATCACTTTTTCATCACTGGGACATATCACCCCACGTCTTCAACTTGGAAGAGAGATTTATTTTGGCTCCCAGTTTTAGTCCTTGATCGCCTAGCTACAAGGAAGATACAGGATGTAGAAGGTATGGTAGAAAACAGGTGCTTAACTCTTGGCAGCCTATAAGCAGAGAGAAAGGGCAAGAGCCAAGGGAGGAGGATGTACCCTTCCAGATCATGCACCAGGCCCACATCCTAAGAGCACATTGAGTTCTAAATCATTAGTGGCTTAATCCACAGATGTGTATAGCACCCCCATGATCCAATCACCTTCCAGAAGCCCCACCTCTGAACTTATAAACCCTTTGGCACACATTCTAGATCTAAATTCCATAACAAAGGCTATCTTACTTATTTCTTTAACTTTATATTTTGAAATAATTTCAGATTTACAGAATAGTTGCAAAAACAACACATAATTTCCAGGTACACTTCCCCTGAATTCTCTCAATGTTAACATCCTATATAACCATGAAATAGTTGGCAAAACTAAGAAACTCTTTCCCTTCTTTCCTTTCCCCTACTCCTCCCACAAAGGAAACACAATCTTTGTAAATAGGGAAGGGTGGATGGGTTGAAGAGGGGAAAGGGGAATGGAGAAAAAAACAAGAACCAAGATACATCATGCAAAGGCACAAATTCACCATGATGAATGTCATATTGTATACCTAAAATGTACCAATAAAAATGAATAAAAAAAAACCTAAGAAATCAACAGCAGTACAACAGTTAACTAAACTAGACTTTCTTCACATTTAACAAATTTTTCCACTGAGGTCCTTTTCTAGTCTAGGACCCACTCCAGTCTCATGTTCTATTTCAGTGTTATGTCTGCTTGTACTGATAATTCTCATTCTTCCCTCTCCTTCATGACCTTTATACTTTTGATGAGTATGCATTTTGTAGAATGTCTCTCAATTTGGGTTCATCTCTTATTATGGTTTGATTCAATTTTTTGGCCAGAACCACAGTAGCACTATGTCTTTCTCAATGTCACATCAAGAGATACATAACGTTAAGGTAAAAGACTTATTACCAGTTGTGTCATCCTTGATCAGCTGGTTAAGGTGGCGTCTGCCAATTTTTTTTTTCTCCACAATATATACTATTTTTCCTTTTATAACTAATATTCATCTTGGGGAAGACCCTCTGAAGTCATGCAAATTTTTATTTTTTTCTCAACCTTTTGCCCACCCATTTTTTTTTGGAAACGGGGATTAAACCCAGGAAGCAAGGAGACATATCCTCTGCCCTTTTTATTTTTTAATTTTGAAACTCTTTCACTTAGTTGCCCAAGCTGACTTCAAACTTGTGATACTTCTGCCTCAACCTCACAAGTAGCTAGGATCATGGGCATGAACTACCATGTCCACCTTACCAATGAGTTTTTAGTATCTGTTAGTAGTTCTTGCCTGCAACAATTACTACTATAGTGATTTTTCTATTTCTGTCTCCATATTTGTTCAGTGAAATATATTGAAATTTCTGTAGGAAACTTGATTCTTCTCCCCATTTATTTAATTATTTACATCAGTATGGACTCATGAATATTTTATTATATGATTTATAATGCAGTACCATTGTTTATTTTGTTAATCAAATTCATTTAGTTATCTTACTCATTTTAATAATGTTATTCATTTTTCACTCTACCAATCCCTGTATTTATGGCTTTCATTTACATTATCTGTCATGTTTGGTAAATGAAATAGTCCTGAAGGGAAAATGTTACATAATAAAACTGAATCTCAGAAGGGACATAACAGTTCAAATAGCAGAACAGCAGTAAAACCCAGGTTTCCCATTTCACTTCAGGACACCATGTGTGTTTGGAGAGTCAGGCACGTACACCAAATAAAATAAACTCCTCTTCCCTGATACTTGAAATTCCTCATTTGAATTTTCTAAAATTTTTGACCAGCAACTCTCTGTTTGTGCACCTCTGCAGGCCAAAAGCTACACTCAAGGACTTGTGAAAGAAAACGTGTTTTCCATTCTCAAGAATCCTGACTAAAGCACAACAAGCTAAGGGAAAATAAAATAGAACCTCCACAGAATGAAATTTCATTCAAGCTGGATTGCAAATTAAGGCATTATGATTGTGATCTTTTCCTCTCTGAATGTAGACCAATCCACCAAGCTGCTATAGAGTTGCCAAATCCAAAAAATGAGACTTGTGAACATTATGTGTGCATGTGTGTGAGTATACCTCACATACTTCTTTCTGATTCTGTAGCTAAAATTAGTATATTTGCAGCTAATAGGAAAAGACAGTGAGATATAATGCAATTCCAAGACAATGAAATATAAGGCAACCCCAAATAAAAAAATGTCCAAGAAGTCTATAACTAGTTTTAAAAAAATGAAGGCAAGAAAGTTAAAACCCACTCTGAAATTTCTAGTGATACCATAACACAACGGCTGCTAACAAACTGTCACACAGGTATCAATCTAGAGCAGTCGTTGTCAGACGTCGAAGGGGACATTTGCAGTGTCAAAATAATGTTTGGTTGCTGCAACTGTGGGGGTTAGCGAGTGACTACTAAAGTCAAATAGGGGCCATGAGTGACATTTAGCAAGCCAGGGATATTAGCTAAACACAGTCCCCACAACAAAGAAATACCTAGCCCTAGATGTCAAATAGTGTTGTGGTTTAAGGAACCCTGTTCTAAAAGTATTGAAAAGTAAAGAATATCAAATATATTTTTTAAAAAAACTTAAACTAGATTTATTTAGAAGGGAGAAATAGGTGAATGTAAAATGTATATCTGGTTATCTCTAGAGAATAGTCCCCCCAGAAATGTTTGTGCTTGCTACCTATGAATTAATTTTTAGGTAGCCACTTAAACATTATTCTAGGCATTCTGTGGGAGTGTGATATGGTTTGTATCTAGATATACCCCCAAAGCCTGGGTAGTCATAGGTGCGGCTTTTTGGAAACTGGAACTAGGGTTCATGATACTGTGATTAGGGATGTGATGCTGGGATTGATTTATGGTGTGATGCTAGAATCAAGGCTGCCCCACCCTACATGTGAGTGCTACCTGTCCTAAGATGAGTAGCCTGGATAAGGTATACAGACAGAAAGAGGGTCACTTGTTGCTTGCTGTCTTGCTGCCTTCTGCCTCCCATGAACTATCTCTTCTGATGTCCCTCTGCCATGCCACCCTGTCTTGGAGCCTGCAACTGTGAACTGAAACCTCTACAGACTGTGAGCCAAATAAACTTTTCCTCCTTTAACTTTGGGTATTTTGTCTTAGCAAACAAGAAAAGTAATTAACACAGTGTTTTCCGACATTAACATTTAAACTAATGGACTTTAGTAAAACAGACTGTGAGTGAGCCTCAGCCCATTGGTTGAAAGTTGAATGGAACCAAAGGCTGACCCTCCCCCAATTAAAAGAGTTCTCCCACCTGGTACTTTCTAACTGAAGCATTAGCACTTCCTGAGTTTGTACCAGCCAGTTGGCCTTCAGACTTCAACTGGGACATTCGCTCTGCAGATTTGGACTTCGCCTGTAAACTTATGTGAGCTAATTATAATTACATATAAGTAATCAAAATCTGTTGGTGCTGTATCTCTGGAGAACAAGGATTAATACATTTACATGTGAAGTTCATGCTAGTTTGGGATCTTAGTTTGGTTTTGTTTTTTTAGAAAAGCCTAAGAAATACTATTTTTATTGGTTTGTTATAGGAATGACCCTTTTACTAAGCATCATCTATGTACTATAGTTCCAACAATGGAACAAGCATCTAAGTCACATACATATCTAATATTTTGTAGGCCAGGCCTGCACATAAACTCAGGTTCTTTAGTATAACATGATATCTAGCTCAATGGGGCTGCCGCCTGCCTGGCAAGCACAAAGGTCCTGAGTTCAAGCTCCAGTACCAAAAAAAAAAAAGGTTTAAAAGAGTTCTCCCACCTGGTACTTTCTAACTGAAGCATTAGCACTTCCTGAGTTTGTACCAGCCAGTTGGCCTTCAGACTTCAACTGGGACATTCGCTCTGCAGATTTGGACTTCGCCTGTAAACTTATGTGAGCTAATTATAATTACATATAAGTAATCAAAATCTGTTGGTGCTGTATCTCTGGAGAACAAGGATTAATACATTTACATGTGAAGTTCATGCTAGTTTGGGATCTTAGTTTGGTTTTGTTTTTTTAGAAAAGCCTAAGAAATACTATTTTTATTGGTTTGTTATAGGAATGACCCTTTTACTAAGCATCATCTATGTACTATAGTTCCAACAATGGAACAAGCATCTAAGTCACATACATATCTAATATTTTGTAGGCCAGGCCTGCACATAAACTCAGGTTCTTTAGTATAACATGATATCTAGCTCAATGGGGCTGCCGCCTGCCTGGCAAGCACAAAGGTCCTGAGTTCAAGCTCCAGTACCAAAAAAAAAAAAAGGTAAATGTTAACTATTCCTTGTCTTCTTACAGAAGGTGAATAAGAGCCATCCTAGTCTCCATTCCTTTATCAGATTGAAATAGCATGCTGAAAGTTTCCCATTGGTATGTTGCCTTTTTTACAATTTTGCAAGTAGGGAGATTTTATTTTTAGTTGGAAACTTCCTACCTTAAGTATTAGCCTTTATTTTGTATTCTTTTAAACTAGGTACACAAAGTCTGCCAGCTTTGCCATAAAAAAGTAATGTAGCAATGCTTCTCTGCCTAATACTAATAAAAAGAAGAAATTAGAAAAGAATACACTGCCTCTTTGTAAAAATTCTATTTCCTACATCCTTAATGCCCATTTTTAAAGAAGTAATTATTAATTAACACCTGAAATTAACAGTTAACACTGAAATGTTTAATGGATTTGTAACAAGGGAAAAAACACCAAACTAATGCCTATTTCAATGCTGAATATTAATTATCATTCTTTCACCTCATTTGGGTTACTCCAAACCGTGCACTTGGGAGAAGCTAGGGGAGAAATTTTAATCTATATTTTCTACCAGGGTCCTTCTTATGGATAGAAGAAAAACACTGGAAACTACTGAAATTAAACACTGTGTTATGCAATTCTCTGCTTCTCCCTTCATTATTACAAATAGCAAAACTAGTTGTAAACTGAGAACAATTTTTTACTTCCTTTATATTCATATTAAACCACTGTTATGCAATTCCCTGTTTGCTTCTCCTTTCATTGTTTCAAATAGCAAAACTAGTTGTAAACTGAGAGCATTTTTTTACTCCCTTTATATTCATATTACATAACATCCATATTTGGTAAAAAGCTGAATCCCTTTTTTTAATCAGTCTCCAAGGATTTAAGCAGGTTTCCACATATACATCTATTGCGCCCCTTTCAGCAAAGGCTTGCCTGTAATCATCAACCCCAGAAGTAGTCCATAGTGACTACTTTTGAGTGTCACCAGATACTGGTTCTGACAGACCTTCTAAGGGACTATCTCTCCTAAGCATGGCATTTAGCACAACAGACTCTGAGCCTAAGTAAAATATACCTAACAATGGCTGAAGAGAACTGTGCTCCTGGTGAACATTAAGTCTGGTTAAGAAATAGTTCCAGGAATCAGGAAAGACTGCAATTGCAAAGGAAAGTTTGTATTATTTTTCATTTAACATTAATACTACATGGTATTACTATGAATAGAAATGTTCTAAATAACCCAAAAATGTATCTGAGTCATCTACAGAGCCAAAATGAAGGGAATACCTGAACATCATCTGTCCAGAATGCCAGACAACACTGCCATGAAGCAGCAAAATTTGCCTGCCTATCAACTACGTTTCTCAGCTACGGTAGTCCTGTCTATTTTTTTTGGCACAGGAGTATTCTGCCTTTGCATGGGTGTCATCCTTATATTGTCTGTGAAGAGCACCAAGAAAATAGAGGTTTGTGTCCATTTTACTTTTTTTTGTCTTTTCCTTCTTTTTTTTTTTTTTTTTTTCTTTTTTTTTTTTTTTTTTTTTTTTTTTTTCCCCACAGAGGCTCACTGGAGCACAGGCTGACTTCCAACTCTCCAACTTCCTATAGAATTCAGGCTGACCTCAATCTCTATCGTCTTTCCTCAGCCTCCCACACCTAGGATTACCGAGAATGTTCAGTTTGAGATTATAAATGGAAACGGTCAATCTGAGAACACAGTGCCTCAACAGGAAACTAGATGAGATTGAACCATCCCACTTTCAGCTGGCAGAACCAAATAGTCAAAGTGTCCATGCAAAAAGGCTGTATTCACCGCTGTTACTTCCTTCTGGAGGACATTCACTTCTTGAGCAACTCAGCTTAGCTAAGTGCTTTTTACCCTGACAGAGGAGTTAGTAAACACTGAATGGAAATGAGAGGAACAGGCAAAGCCAATGATGCCAGAGACAGGAATCATGCTGATATAAGCACAGAGCCAAAGCTACAGGTCTTCCATACTTTTTTCCATTTAATTAACGTGTAAAGATTTCACATATTTGTAGGATACAAGTGATATTTCAATACATATATGCAATCTGTACTAATTACATCTGAGTAATTTACATCTCTAGCTCCTCCTTATTATTTCTTTATTTGGAGCCTTTGAGCTCCTTTCTTCCAGTTCTCCATAAAATATGTAATAGTGCATTGTAAACTGTAGTCACTTTATTGTGTTACTTATTCCTCCTAGCTGTGCTTTGATGCCCTTATTCAAACCCTTTCTATCCACTCCCATCTTAATAGACGCTATTAAACCAACACACTCTATTTAATTCTTTCTAAGTACTATTCTACTTCCAGATGGACTTTTTAAGCTTCTACATGTGAGTGAAAATATGAAGTATTTGTCTTTGTGTGTCTAGTTTACTTCACTTGATATAATGTACTCCACATTCATCCATTTTGCTGGAAATAACAGGATTTCATTCTTTTCATGGTTGAATAATAGTCCCTCATACATATACAACATCCTCTTTATTCATCTGCCAATGGACATCTAGACTGATTCTATATCTTGGCTATTGTGAATAGTGCTGCAATAAACATGGGGTTACACATATCTTTGATGTGCTGATTTCATTTTCTTCAGATGTTAACCCAGGTGGGATAGCTGAATTACATGGTAAATCTAATTTTAGCTTTTTGAGGAACCTCCATATTGTTTTCCACAATAGTTACATTAATGTGCATTTCCAACAACAGAGTATAATAATTCCTTTTCCTTCATACCCTCACTAGCATTTGTTATTTTTGTATTTTTGATAATAGCCATTTTGACTCTGAGGTAAGATGATATCTTACTGTGGTTTTGATTTCCATTTCTCTGATGGCTGATGATGTTGAACATTTTTTCATATACTTTTTAGCCATTTATACCTCTCCTTTTGAAAAATGTTTATTTAGATCATTTGACCACTTGAATTAATTATTTTTTGTTGGTGGTGGGTCTTTATGTGTTCTTTGTATATTCTGGATATCAATTCTTTATCAAGATGAATAGTATACAAATATTTTCTCCCATTTTGCAAGTTATTTCTTAACTTTGTTGATTTTTCTTTTGCTATGCAGAAACTTCTTAGTTTGTTATAATCCCATATATCAGATTTTTGCTTTCATTGCCTATAGTTTTCATCTAGTCATTTCCTAGTTTCAGGCCAACATTTAGGTCTTTGATCTATTTTTAGTTGATTTTTGCATAGAGTGAAAAATAAGGATAAAACTTCATTATTCCACACATGGATATTCTGTTTTCTCGGGTGTCCTTTCTCCTATGTATGCTTCTGGAGCCTTGTCAAAATGAGTTGGCTGTAGATGCATAGCTTTACCTGTTCCATTTATCTATGTGCTGGTTTTTTATTCCTGCAGTATACTCTCTAGGATATTATACTCTAATAGTGTATTTTGAGATCAGGTATTGTGATATCTTAGTTTTATTTTATTTTATCAAGATTGCTTTAGATATCCAGGATCTTTTATGTTTCCATACAAATTTTAGAATTGTTTTACTAGTTTTGTGAGGAATTGTATTGGTATTTTGATGGAAATTGTACCAAATCTGTAAATTGCTTTAGTATTATGGACATTTTAACAGTATTAATTCTTCCAATTCATGAACACTGGAAGGTGTTCCCATGTTTTGTGTGTGTAACTTTTTAAATTATTTTCACCAGTGTTTTAGTTTTTCATTTTAGAAGTCTTTCACTTCCTCAGATAAATTTATTCTTAGTTATTTTATTTTTATCGCTCCTGTAAATAGAACTGCTTTCATGATTTCTTTTTCAGCAAATTTGTGAGCAAGTTACATATTCTTGTTTGTGATCAGTGCATAAAAAAGGCTACTGATGTTTGTGTGTTTATTTTTTAGTCTACAACTTCACTGAATCATTTATCTGCTCCAATAATCTTTTGGTAGAGTCTATTTATATAAATATATGCTTTCATGTCATCTGCAAACAGAAATAATTTTACTTCTCTCAAGAATTGAGTCCTTCTTTTTGCAAATGAACACCCTCTGAGATCTAGACAAGACCCCAAAACTTTCTGATATCTTAAGGATGCTTATATTCAATGTAATGTATAATGAATTAAGTGCCCTTTCCTCTAAATTAGCTCTAAATAGACAACCAAACAACCCAGACAAAATGATATTTACTCAGAAAGCAACCACAGAAAGCAGACCTGTTTCTACACTGCATATGGCTACTGGCAAACTTATAATGAAGGCCACTTCTTTCAACATTAATTTAACATTTTTGAGTTTCAGAAGGTATCTTAAGAATTCTGTTGGGTATGCAGATGAGGTTGATAAGTAAAAAAAATGCCTATCATCACTGAACTAAGGATAGTGAACATTAAATAATACAGTTGTCTCTCATATCTGCAGGGTATTGTTTCCAAAACCTAAAAGATACCAAAATCTAAAAAAAAAAAAAAAAAAAGGCACCAAAATCTACAGATGCTCAGGTCCTTTAAACAAAATGGTGTATTTGTATACAACTTTACATGTCCTCTTACCTACTTTAAGTCATCTCGAGTATTTTTAAAACCTAGTAGAATATAAATCCTATGTAAATAGCTGTTATACTGTGTTGTTTAGAGAATGACAAGAAAAAAAGCCTGTGCATGTTTAGTAGACACAATTTTTTTTCAGTATTTTCCATCTGTGGTTAATCCACAAATGCAGAGCCCACAGATATGGAGGGTCACTGAAAAAATTTCGAAAATATTGTTTGTTAGGCTCCATGAGATAAATGCATTTTTTCAATAATTATTTGCATACTCGTAAGTGAAATAAATAAGTCACTTATGTATAAATACCGAAGTTTCTCTGGTGTGAAAAACTATAATGGTACATAAGATCCTAATGATAATGTGAAATAGGAAGAAAAGGGCTAAAGGTGGAGGGAAAGTGGGAAGGGCAGGGGAAAGGTAATAAGGGAAAAGAGGAAAAAACCTGAGAAAATTAAAACATAGAAATAAAGTATTTGTAAATAGGGAAGGGAGTGGGGGTGAAGGGAGGGCAGGGATAAGGGGAAAAAATGAGAGCCAAGACCTGTCATGTAAAGGTACAAGATCCCAATGATGAATGTAACTGTACCGTATACCTACAATGTACCAATAAACTCAATGAGGAAAAGAAACCAGTTATTTGCAGAGAAGCCTTAACAAATACCCAATGATGGAATGAAGTAAGAGAACTCAGCCATGGCCTAATCACTTTCCTTGCACATTGCCCAGGATGTGATCAGCGAGTTAGGGAAAACAGCATAGATTTCAAACAGCAGATCCTGCCCCTTATTCCATTGCACATTGTTCTGTTGTCTCTCTGCTTACATTTTTCTGATCCCCCTGCTTAGCTCCTATAAGTTTGTCTCCCCAGGAGTTTAATGCGCCCAAACTCTCCTGAGTTCTCCATTGTGATATGTAACCTTCACCAGACCTCAGCTTAGTACAGAGGAAAAATGGCAGGATGAAATTAAACTTGTTTTGCTAAAGGGGGAAGCACAGTAATGGTCTTCTAAGGTTGATTTTTATTTCCACAAACAGGGCATCTTACTAACGTTTTTTATTAGCTTCGCAGTCATTTCTTCTTACCTTGTAGTTACCCATCCTCACCCATTGGAGTGTAGTCTTCCTTAAAAGGCAGACATTGCTGCATCAGGTTATTGTATCAGGGGGTAACCTCACGCCATCACTGGCTACTGACTAAGCCCCTTTGCAAACAACTATTGACAAAATGCTTTTCTCTCATAGAGAGTAAGGACACTTTTCAATAGATTTTTTTTCCTCATTGAGTTTATTGGTACATTTTAGGTATACAGTACGATTACATTCATCATTGGGATCTTGTACCTTTACATGACAGGTCTTAATTTTCATTTTTTCCCCTTGTCCCTGCTCTCCCTTCACCCCTCCTCCTCTCCCACTTTCCAAACACTTCATTTCCATTTTTCACTTTATCATATTTTTTTCTTTTCAATAGATATTTTTAATTGTATATAATATGATTAGTTCTAGCACTTTACTTTTATGCAGAAAAACCAGAAACCACCCAAATGGTTTCTCTGAATGTGAAAATGTTCCACTATATTGAGTGATATGGTAGAGTACATACTCTAGGCCAGTGTGAAACCAAGCACAGACTCAGTGCAAAAGAGTCATTCAAGCACCAAATTGGGGATACTGTCATTACATAGACAGTAAATTAAGAACGTATTTCTCTCATTAAATTTTTCAAAGCTAGCAGGCAACATTGATATCATCTCAAAAATTATTTTGCCATGAGACATTTTTCTAATTCTACATTCATATAACTCAAAATGAAATCTGTGAAGCAGAATGTTTACTATTACAGTGACCTCATAGATGGATTCATTGATTCATAAAATGATGCTGATGAACAAAATGTGGACCCTTAGGGTTAAGTACTTCACCCAAGATCAGAGGTTGGCTGAAGTAGGGCTAGTGTCTTTGGTGAGAGTTCAGTGTGCTCTCTTCCAATTAGGATATAGCCCTGTCTTTATTACTTTCTCTAAATTGAGATGTATTTCACAAACAGAAAAGGAATAAATATATCCAAAATAATAGTTAAAGCCATGCTGCCTATTTAAACAATGGTTTAAGTAAATAGTACAAAAACAGCCTTTTCACTAATCTTTAGTATTTATATTTTACCTTTAGGCTTCAAAACCCTCAGTAGCTTTGGTCAGACTGAAAACTTCTGTCTTTCTTGTTAGCATTCTCTCCCAAATCAAATGGCACTTTATCAAGGAGAAAGCTACTTTCTTGTCTCATACCACTATAATTCCCTAATTATTCTTCAACATGGTGAGAGAAAAGCAGAAGCAGCCCACCACAGCACCCCCTGTAGTCCCAGGCCCCAGAGGTGGGCATCCTTGTAGGGTAAGGGAGCCACACAGCTCCTGGACCCTGATCTCTGAGCCTCCCTCCTTACTGTTTTCTGACTGCGTCTTCAAAAAACTGTCAGCCAGAGCTCACAGGAGTCCCCCATTTGGGACATAAATCGTTTCTACACTAGAACTTAGCCTAAAGGCCAAAAAACAATCACAGGACCGCTTTTTAAAGAGTTCATTATACTATTTTCCACAGAATTTAGCTATTAAAAGGTGCAATGCAATAGTTTTTAATACTAGAATTATTCCACATACATCAATAATCCTATTTGGAAATGCTTCTTTTTCTATGTTTGGTCAGTTTTAGTAACTTCTTCTGAATGTCATGTAAAATAATTCATTAGTATGAATAGTTTCCATATAGTAAAATGGAAAAACAGCGAAGCATCTTCACCATAAATGTGATTAGATTCGGGCCATAGCCCAGTCTTCCTGAGTCGTTGACTCATACCTTCCCAGTGACACCTCATTATGATGGAAAAACAAGGCTTCATCCCAACATGTCACATAACTATGCAACACAAACACTAAACTCCAGGCCAATTGCAAAATGTTGCCAGGTCCCCAAATGGAAGACTGTAAATAGGCCCACTCCTCCCCAACAGCCCAGAAACACTTACCTGCACAGTGGGCTGCCTTTCAGTCATGACCGAGGTATCACCCTCAATACGGTGGAAGTTTTGGTGACTCAGGACTTAAATTTTATGACTTGTAATTTATAACTTTTAAATTAATAATTGTTCTTTTCCCTGCTTGAACAGATTAATTACACAAAAATATGCTCAAATTGTGCTCAATTGCGGGAAAATGCCTTTAACTTTGACAAAGAATGCATCTGCTCTATACCCTTTTACCTTCCAGAGAAAATGGAGGTAAGTGAAAATGAAAAGTTCAATTGACTTTGTGCTCATTTATGAATACTTCTATTTAACTGTCTAGGGTGAGTTCACAATTTCCATCAAAAGCTCTCCAAGACTGAAAAATATTAAAAGTAAAGCAGGTTGGGAATGATAAATTTTATAAATTGTTGAGTGCCTGCCTCCCTATTTGGGATTATTCTTCTCCTTTGTATATTTGTTTCTAAGTTTTAAGATGCTTTACTGACCCAACTTCAGAATTTTTATAGTCAAACAGGCTTTATTCCAAATGTCAGCATTGGAGGGGACTGTAAAGATCATTGAATTTAACCAATCATTTTATAACCCAAAAATTAGTGGGCTAAGACGTTAAGTGATGTGGTCAAAGTCACACAGCAAATTAATATTAGGGTTCTTGTGTGGAGGGATCTCCTTGCATCCCCCACTCCAAGTCATCCTACATACTCAGTTGCTAATTCTTAAGTCACTCTGGCCTGACTGTCAGGTACTGTGAGAGATGCCAAAGAAATACTAAGACCCGAAGCCCTACTCTTGCAATTGTTAAAGTCACATGTTAGTCTATCCATCCAGGTCTTCTGAGAAGCAGATGCCAGGACAGGACTGGACATGCAAGAGATTCATAGGAGGGACCCCTGGGAGGGAAATGGGAAGGGAGCAGGAAGAGGCTGGGATAGCTGTCAGACCACAAGACAGCTCTGACCCTTGAGAAGACAAGGAGATGAAATGGAAAGGAGGGGAGTAGGGAAGTAAGGAGAGTTTTCAGGAGGTGATGATGAGTTTGGCTTCAGACCAGCTGAGCTGAGGTAGAAGCTCAGTGAGAAGCTCACAAGAAAAGATGCTGCACTCAGATTCATCCTACGTAGAATCATCTGCTAGGGAAAGAGGGCTCAGGTTAGGATGAAGAGGTACAAATTCCAGAGGGTAGAACAGGCCATGGAATAACTTTGAGGTATTGAGGAAAATTCATTTTTCATTTTATTAACTCTTGACTATCAAGGAAGACTGTGGAGGCCATGAAAAGTCTCTTAGTGCTACCACAGGGAGTGTAAGGAAGGGTGGTCCCAGTTGCTGTGCTCTGAAATCATCCTACGTTGGCCCCAAAACTATGTTCTCCAGGCCCCACTACAGTGTCCGAGGATAGCAGAGACAGTGAGGAATAATCTCCTTCTGAAAGAGAGGTCTCCTCTGACGAGCCTCTTTGGGGACCACCTGTCAGCTTGCTGGAACTCCCCCTCTCACCACACCCAGTCCTGCGGTACTAGAGGTGGAGGCAGGGCTTCATATCTGCTGAGTAAGCACTGTACCACTGAGCTACACTCCCAGCCCCTGAAACTTTCAGAATGTATTGTAGTCTGCTTCCTCCTGCTGTTTCCTTCCCTTTTCTGCCCTACTTGCCTTCCTTCATTTCATTTTCCTTCCTTCCTTCTTGAATGCCCAGAATACTTTTGTGAAGAAAAATCTCAAAGACAAAACCGTAAAGGGCTTAAATGCCCATCTGTCTGTCCTTCAAAAATCATTTGCTATGTTACCAGTGGCTGATCATTCACTTCAGGCAGAGGTTTCTGTGAAAACCCAACCAAACTACCTAGGACAATCATGGGGCCTTCAGCTCTCCAGCTGAACATGTGCTCATCACTGCAGGTGCTGGAACTTAGGTCATGAATGTACACAAATGTTTATCTCATACATAGTGATCCTACACAAAGGGCAGTTACCAGACTTTAAATTTCCTACTACTCATGGCTCAAACCAAAAACTCAGGACACAGAAGTTAATGGAAGGAAATAGGCTTATTTAAGCCAGTCATGAAGAACATGAAGGGACCTCTTTGTAGTCTCAAATCTCTTTAAGGCACTTACAGCGGGTTCTGAAGGGCTTATATAAGAGAAAAGGGAATACAATGAAATAATGGGCAGGAATCTGAACATATTTTTTTTCCTCCCTCCTCCTTTCTCATGGTAACAGAACAGAATCTACATTTTCTTTTTTCTTGGTACTAGGGATTTAACTCAGGACCTTGTGCTTGCAAGGCAGGTGCTACATTTTCTAGACAGAAACATTACTTTTCAGCAAGTCAATTCATATGAGCTGAGGAGAAGAGTAACTTTACAGAGGCTTCTGTTTAGAATTTAGAATACTATAGCTGGGATTAGCTCAGTGGCAACATACCTGCCTTGTAAGCGCAATGTCCTGAGTTTGATTCCTGGTACTGAAAAAAAAAAAAAAAAAAACGACAACAGCACCAACAAACCCAGAATGAATTTAGGATACTGTGTAAAAGTAATTGGCTATTAAAAGATTAGGGAGAAGATGAGAGGAACGGAATTTTGTAAAAGACTCTTCCCTGGAAAATTACTTGGTTACAATGCCACTGAGCCTAAAGAGAAGAAAGACCATAAAGTGAACTGTGCCTCCAAGAGTAAGTAAAAAAGATGATGACTATGGAGGCTTTGCTAAGCTAAATCTGGAATAGTGTTACTGAAAAGACGTTATTGAAACACTCCCGTCCCTGGTGTAGCAAGTGCTCCCTGCCTGTTTATTTTGTCACTGATATAAAGACGTAACTCTGGTTAAGTGGAATTCACTTTTTGGTTTCCAATAATGTGTGGTAAATTCCATTCTGTGGATTTCATACTTTCTATGGTCATGGGTCAACAATGGAGGTTCTCTTTTTGGGTGAGGAAATGTGACCATGGTGTATTTGCCTTCATGCCAGTGCTCTGTTTATTACCTTGCAGCCTGCCTCTTTGTCATGGCCCAGGATATCCCCTTTCCAGTGTTCAGAGAGATTTCTCTTACTAGTGAACAAGTTCTTCAGCCTCCCTTTTCTATACCTGGCCACACTTGCCATGACTTTCCTTCAGATCTTACCATGAGTACCAGCTCCCATTTTAACATTCATCCTCTTTCAGGTCTTTGAAAAGTGAAGCCAAAAGCCTTTCAAAGTGCTGTTTTTGCATAGGCTTAAAGAATCAATGGACTCCAGTAACTGAAGAAGAATGCTTTTGTGTTCCTTTTTCCTTTTCTTTTTTCTTTTTTGGTGGGGGTACCAGCGATCAAACTCAGGCCCTTGAGCTTACGAGGCAGGTGGTGGAACTACTGAGCCAAATCCTCAGCCCTCTTTTTCTTTTTTTAAAAATTAATTTTAGGTATACAATACATTCATCATTGGAGATTTGTACCTTTGCATAATATATCTTGATTCGTATTCTCCCCTATTCCCCTACCCTACCTTCAACACCTCTGCCCTTCTCTATCTACAAAGACTTTGTTTCCATGTTTTCATTTTCTTATATTAATTCCATTCCCTTCTTTCCTTTCCCCTACCTCTCCTACTTCCTCTTTCCCTTTGCCCCTTTTCTTCCTATTTCACATTATCTATTATACATTTTGAACCTTATTTATACTTTCAGTTTCTCATACCAGAGAAACTATTCAGTATTTACACATGTCCTATTTATTGCACTTAACACTATCACCTCAATGTGCATCCACTTGGCTATTAATGTCTCTAATTTCTCATTCTTTATGGCTGAGTAGTAATTTATTTTATTATTTTTAAAAAGGCATTTTCTTTATCCAGTCTATCATTGATGAACAACTGGGCTGTTTCCAAGTTTTAGCTATTACAAACTTTACCACTATAAACATGTGTGTGCATAGATCACTGTGGAATGATTGTTTTAGTTTTGGGGGGAAGATACCAAGCAGGGGAATAGTTGTGTCAAATGGGACCTCTAATCCCAGTTCTTTGAGGTGTCTCCATACTGATTTCCACAGTGGTTGCACCAGTCTACACTCCCACCAACAGTGGAGGACTCCTTTTTCTCCACAGCCCTGCCAGCATTGATTATTGGTTGATTTCTCTATAGTAGACATTCTTTCTGAGTGACATGGAATCTCAGCTTTATTTTCATTTGCATCTCAAATGACCAGTGATGTTGAATATTTTTTCATGTGTTTATTTACTATTTCCACTTCTTTGTCTGAGAAATGTCTATTCATTTCAAATGCCCATTTTTGGATTGGATCTTCACATTTGGGAAGTCTGGTTTATTAAGTTCTTTGTATATTCTAGATAGTAGACCTTTGTCTGAGGAACAGCTGGTAAAAATTGTTTCCAGATTGTGGGTTTTCTCTTCACTTTGTTGATGATTTCTCTTGCTGTGCAGAAGCTTTTCATTAAGAAGAGATCCCAGTTGTTCATTCTTTCTGCTTATTCACGTGCAACTGAGGTTTTTGGTTTCTTGCACAAATATATCTTGCATGAATATATCACCTAACATGAGAGAGGCACTTAATAGTTAGGCCTTCTTATTTTGAGACATAGCCTTTAATTATTTTGATGAGATTACTCTATTAATTATAAACAGCTACATTGGACATTCCTATAAGTGCTGGTAATAAAATCAATGCATATGTTAGCTAAATGCAATGATTATTTCCTATATACTGTTAGTAAAATCTGTCTCAAGTCTCCCCCAAAAATGTCAAAGGCCTTGTCATAGTCATCTTTCTGTTACTGTGACAAAATACCTGAGAAAAACAGAGCAAAGAAGGGTTTATTTTGGCTCACGGTTTCAGAGCCGGCAGTCCTATGGTCGGTCAGCTGGGTCCATTGCTACAGATATGTGAAGAGGTAGAACATAATGACCATCAGCAGAAAGATGTGGCACAGGAGGCTGCTCACTTTGTGGTGAACAGGAAGCAAAAGAGAAGAAGAGAATGGACAACTTATAGTTCCCAAGAATATGCCCCCAAGGATGATGGACTCTCTTCAACTATGTCTCACCTTCTAAAATTTCATCACCTCCCAATAGCCTATTAAATTACGAACTCATTAATGAGTCCATTGATAAGGCCAGTACCTTCATGATCCAACCATTTTCCAAAAACCACACCTCTGAACATTACTACACTGGGGACCAAACATCTAACACATGAACCCTCAGGGGACATTTCAGATTCAAACCTCAGTGATACAGAATTTTAGGGCGAAAGCTCCAGGTCCAAAGTCCTAACGAGTAGGTTTAGCCATGATTCTCAAAACATCAGTCAGGACGAACATTGTTCAAGGTCAGGTGCTTTAATCAACATGGTCCTGCTGGAAAAGTCACATAAAGAGGTTCAAGGGGATGACAGAAACTTTGGGGTTTTATAGAAAAGGGAACAAAGGCCAAGGGGTGGAGTTTTCCACAGTTGGCAATGTAGGCAATCCTGGTCAAAATATGGTTTGGTCAGTCATTTTTTAAGGACTTGTTCTTTGAGAGTGCTCAGAACAATACCTATGGTTTGAAGGGGCAGTTTCCCATGAGATTATTGGTCCTGCTGGAGGGGGGGTGCTGTGAGGTATTGTTTTCCTTGGAATCTAAGGCGACTACAGGTTTAGGACATTGCAAAATGAATAGTCTCATGGGAAACTGCCTCTTCAAACAACGAGGCATCTCTCTCATGGCAACAAAGCTACTTACTGCTAAGGTGAAAATCACCTTCTTTATTGTGAATCAGTGACTTATTCCATCTTTTTATTCCATTGCAAATGCCTCACCATTTCTTGAGTAAGTATTAAGTGCCAGAGACTGCTAGGTCCTGGTACTAAAAAGACAAAAAACCCAGAGGCCAACTACAAGGTGCTTCTAGTCTCATTCCTTTCATATGCCTAGTATACAAAGGCACCAAAATATACTCATTAGCTCCAACTTTAAAATATATTACATGGATTTACTTTGAATTGGTGATTTTTTAATACCTATCCTAACACCTAGCAAAGTATTTTTCTGGGTATTTCTGGGAAAGAACAATATATTTGAAACCAAATTTTAAGTATTGCCATGTACAGAAACTGGTTATAATTTTTTTAAGGCAAATATGTAGTGGCTCTTGTTTTGTTTTGCTTTGCTTCATTTTTTGAAACAGGGTCTCCATATGTAGTTTAGACTGGCCTTGAACTCACTATGTAGTCCAGGCTGGCCTTGAATTTACAGTAATCCTCCTACATCAGCCTCCTGGGAGCTGGGAATTATAGTCGTGTGCTATCACACCCAGTCTTTTCTTTTTAATATAATAGGTTTTTAATCGTTTCAGTTATCTTTATAGACTAGGACTTCCAACAGTGACTTTTTAAAATGATTTGTGTTTCTGTTTTCCAGAAATTTTCAGTTCCCATCATTTTTTTTTCTGTACTGCCTTATATTTTTTAAATTTCTGCAGAATATGATGGTGTGTGCCAACAATCCCAGGAGGTTGGGGAAGGAGAATTGAGGCCAACCTGGACAAAATAAAAGACCCTGTCTAAACCAACCAACCAACCAACCAACTAAATAAATAAATAAATAATTTAAATTTTAAATTCTTGCTCATGTTTATTAACATTCCAGGTAATCTCTCTTACTCTCTTCTTCTTGCTTTTTTTCATACAGGGTAATGTTTATATGTACTACAAATTGTCTGGCTTCTATCAGAATCTCTATCGATATATTCAATCCAGAAGTAATAATCAACTGGTGGGTGAGGCTTTGAGGGTAAGGATTTATTTAATTTGCTATAATACTCTTTCTTTCTTTCTTTCTTTCTTTTAAACCAGGTGGGTCTTTCAGTCTAAAAGGAAGGTTGGGAAATAAACTCAAAAACCAAAGATTTGACAAGCTAAGTTTTTCCAAAACAGAAATATTCATTTCATTCTATATGAATTGAAGGGACTGGATATTCAGAATAACTGTTACTGAGAAAGAATACTGTCTTTTTACAGTAGTAATCCTACCCACCTAAAAGGTTCTCTCATACACTATTTTGAGAGATCTTGTTTCAGGTTGGCTCACTTGATATCTACCATTATCTTCCAATGATATCTATCATAGTTGGGAATTTCAATCCAGCCTACTTTGAGGAAACCGGGTTCTTTTTGATTGAATAATGCCTTTGGTTTAACCAAATATCTTTTCAAGACCTAGAAATACAAACTTTAACTCTTGCTAGATGATATTTACCATGCTAGCAAGAAAGGTAAACAGAAACCTTTTCCATACTGACATTATGTAAAAATGATAATCAAATGATTTTCAGTAATTATTCTTTAAAATGTATCTGGTAAGTGCTTGGATGAAATTCGTCTAAGTCATCTATTTATAGTATCATAGTCGGTACACTTTTCTGAATATAAATTTTACTTCCATAAAAAGATTTTAAAAATGCATTCCAGGGTAAAGTTAATGTAATATACAGGAGAGCTGATGAGAAAAAAATCCTTCCTGCAGACATAATGCTATATATTATTGAGGTAAAAGCATTCTTAGACACAGTACATATGTACTATACACACATAGCTCTGAAACACAAAGATTTCTAGCCTAAGTGAGCCAAATGACTGGAAAAATACAGTGGTTCATAGCTTGACCCATGCCAATAAATTAGTGTAGGATGATCTATTTGGCCAGTGTTCTCTTTTGAGATTTTAAGAGAGTTTACCAAAAGCATTTCTTATTGCTCTGTCATCTTGCATTCAGGATGTTGAGGATTGTGCTCCATTCAAAGTGTCTCACCATGGTACTCCCATTGTTCCTTGTGGTGCTATTGCCAACAGCATGTTCAATGGTAGGTGATGTTTTTCTGTTTCTGTGATGTCCCTTTTCATAAGTGTGTTACCATTTTGATGTCCAGATTACCACAGCAGCTGAGTAGCAGAGTTTTGTTTTGTCTTTTAAACACTGAATCTATTATCCTGTCCGGTCTAGAGCACTGATGTATTTTCATTTGAAAATAAGCTCTCTCTTCCCAGAAATATAGAAAAGTAGTCAGTGTACATGAGTTAAATAGAGCTTAAGAGTATTTTTCAATAACTGATTTGACCTTGGCAGGAAAAAGAATGGTTTGCAGCATCTATGCCATACAGGCATGTTGAAAGTCTACAAGCACTCTGATTTATTTTGTAGCTGTGTCTGGTTCTGCATTTGAAGGATAACAAAACTGCTAGCTTGTATGTCCGACACAGTGTTTTGTTTCTTTTCAGATACCATAATTCTTTCATACAAACTTAATTCATCTATGCATATTACAGTCCCAATGCTAAAGAATGGACTTACATGGTGGACAGATAAGTATGTCAAATTTCAGAATCCAAGTTTCAATAATTTTTCTAGCAAATTTGCAGGTAAGATTCATATAATAACTCAATATTCTTATCTGTTTATTTAAAAATCTTGTTTTTTTTATGGATGGGGAGATTATTATGAGTCCTCTTTTAATTCTCTGTTGGCTTTTTTTTGCTTTAAGTTTTCCCACTGTTGGGATACCTCCATTAAATACTTACCAGAAATATAAAATGATTGGTTTCCTGTTTTCCAGTTTACCACTAAGAAAAAGGCAATGTTTTAAGATGTTTGATGTTTCAGGTATAATTAAGATGACCATATAATTCAGTATCGAACTGGATTCCTTTTTTTTTTTTTTTTTTTTTTTGGTACCGGTGATCTAACTTGGGATCTTGTGCTTGTGAGGAAGGCAGCATAACCACTGGACTAAATCCCCGCCCTGGATTTCCTTTTGAGATTAAAAAGGGGTACTAGAATAACTAGGTACAGAGTTTTTTAAAGTTTTCATATACTGACAAATAAACTAATATCACATTGATGAACATACTACACAATAATTCTACCAAAAATCTACCTTCAAAACTACAGTTCTTAGAGCCAGGTGTGATGATGCACACATGTAGTCTCAGTACTTATGAAGGGAGGCTGAGTGAGGAGGATCGCCATGAGCTCCAGGCCAATCTAGGCTACGTGGTGAGTTCAAGGTCAGTCTGAACTATATAGTGAGACCCTGCCTCAAAACAACACACAAGCAAGAAAGCAATTCTTTCAAAAATTAAAGCAGCGTATATGTATACATTGAAGCAACTTTTTAAAACTGTCTGAAAGTTTAAAAATAAGAAGCAGAACAATTATTTTACATATATTTTCACATACTTTAATCAATTTCTTGACCATATCTGTCTTCATTATATGCACCTGTATTTTTCTAATGAATTTATTCTTTTTATAATGGTCTTACTAATTTTTTCACAAAAATTGTCTTTTTTTTAATTTTATAATTAATCAATTTGAAATTTTTGATACCTCTAACTGATTCTTCTCTGTCATTTATTTGTTTTAATGAGATAATACTCTATAGGTATTGGAGCCAGGGATTTAGATCAGTGGCACCATGCCTGCCTGGCAAGGAAAAGGTCCTCAGTTTAATTCTCAGTACTGAAAAAAAAAATATTCTACAGGTTTCAAAATCTTATTATACTTACAATCAGTTTTGCTAGCTGGAGGAATTCTCAATTTCAATTTCTTTTAGTGAAATATGCTAGTATTTTAATCCAAATGTTTTCACATTTTTTAAGCCTCACTTGTATTTTTGATTCTTTTGAATGCATTGTGAAATGTAGATGTTAAAACAAAAATCTCAGACTTTCTCAGTATTTCATTCTGGTATGAAAAATTCTACCCAATTTAAAACAGAAGAGCTGTTTATATAGGGGGAAGAGATGTAACTCCCAAACCTACTACTAGATATCTGAAATACAAGTTTGCATTCTCTAAAATCAAGGAATGAATTTTAGGAACAACGGAGGTTAAATGAAGGAAAAATTTACTAAGAGAAAGAAAGCTTCTGTCTAAGAGAGACAGAAAGGGGACCAGAAAGTGGGTTGCCCACCCACCCCTCTTCTCAAAGATATTTTATACAGCAAAGCCATGTGGTGAGATAGATACAAAGTGGGACAAAACTGTAAGACCCAATGGAAAATTACAAGGTGGGCATGAGGTGGGGCAAAACCATGACCAACCAATAAGATTACAAGTACAGTCACCCAGATAATATTGATTAAATGAGAGCAAGTCCCCGAGCAAGAGTACAAGGATTTTCAATAAGGGTGGGAGTCAGGGATATTTCTTGGAAAGGCTGGGTTAAGACCTTGGCCCCCCCACCCAGGTGATTGATACCTATTTAAGACATCAATCACTGCTATTTATCCTCAGGGGAAGCACAAGGGTGTAGTAGTTTTTCTCTTTTACAATTTTGGCCTTCAGTGAATGTGTTTTAATTTTCCTTCATGTTGGCTCCTTGTGGGGCAGTCCTGTCTGACTGCCTACAAGATATCTAATTAAGTTACCTGTTACCTATCCACAGTATTATCAATAGTCATCACATAAATTGAGATATTCCAGAGCATAACTATAGAATTTTAAAGTTAACGCATATACATTTTTTCTCATTAAGTTTATTGGTGCATTTAAGGCAAATGATACAGTTACAGTTATCATTGGGATCTTATACCTTTACATGGTATATCTTGGTTCTTATTTTTTCCCCATTCTCATATACATTTTGAATTCTCATTATGTAATATGTTCAATTATTCCTTTGCTCTTACAAAACTAAATATCAATCTTTTCTTGTTTGCAAGCTTGGTTGTCAGTAATCCAGTACACTAAATCTTCAAAAACTAAGATTTTTACATGTTCCATATTTTAGATATTTTTAAAAAATACTTTGAACAAAATGTATCACAAAGTTGGAGAACTCATTTACAGGAAAAATTCAGGATCATTGTAGGATACATCATCTGATATACAAAACATTTCCTAAAAGCCTCAAACATTTCTAAAATTCTGGTTGATAAGACTACTATTATACTGAAGTATATGTTTATCATCTGTTTCATTATAGAAATTGCACAATTACTTTCTCTGTGAATATACAAAAACATTTAGTTATGCATAATTGCAGCTTTTCTTTTGATTAATAAAATATTGTTACTTCTGTGGAGATAATTGTGTATGTACCATAGCCAATTTTTAAGTATACTACTTCTCTGCTGATTTCTCAATTTACTAACAGCATTATCTTTTCTCTGATGTTATGCTCCACCAAAGATGCCCTTATATTATCACTACAAAATCTAACAATTTAAACTTGATTGTTGAAATTTTTAACTGAATTTATAGTAACATTTGTAATAATGTCATAGGTTTCATCTTGAATGATCAAATTTCTAAAAGCTTTCCTTTGGTTCCATGGGAAATTAACCCCCCCATCAAACTATTAATATACTTAACTCACCCAATTTTTCTATTTGAAGAGATTCATGTAAATCTGGCTTCAATTAACTGTTTATGAAGTTTTTTGTGTGATCATGATGTCAACAACACACTAACATATTCTTTTTGGTTACCAAAAACAAAAACAAAACAAAGCAAAAAAATGTATAATAGGCTGGGGATGTGGCTCAGTGACATAGTGCCTGCCTGGCGAGCTCAATCCCCAGTACAAAAATAAAAATAAAAAAAGTATAACTAGAAGGAAATCCATTTGGTCTTAATGAAAAGTCATACTCACAGAATGATATATAAATAGACCTTCACAGAAGTTAAACCACCACCATTGGATACATTTAAAATTTACCAGTCTTTTGAAGCAGGTTCTGAAATTCTTGAGCAAATTTATAACTTTTTATTTCCACACTATCATTGACATCACTATGGTTCCCATGATAGAATAATGTTAACCAATACTTCAAATATCATAATAATTAACTTTCTTAAGAAACCATACTGAATTTTACATTAAACACACACGTTCCATTTTTTTAGTCCTTCACTGCTAAGAGGATTTATTAGCAGATAAAAAATGAATACCAAACAACACAATAGTTATATCATTACACTGTAAAATAAATAACAAAACCACTGTTGCAAAAGAGTGCAAACTATTCGCAGCAGGGCTGCTAAGCATCTGTTTCCCACACATAGTAACATGTATGCATAACCAAACCTATAATTTCCTGCATTTCCCACTGACCCCACTGATTTGCAGCTGGCAGCCTCATATATCTCATGGGCCAAGACAGACACTATGGACAAGCTGGCTGGAATGTCAAACAGCAGGCAGGAGTGACAGGGATAAGTTACATTATGTTTTGATGAGAAGAGTATCCACTCATTTTTCATACATAATCACAAGTTAAAGTAAGCACCCCATTCACTGCACAGGGGAGCTCACATTGAGGTAAGGTTAAGCCTGGAAGCTGGAAGGATGGATGAAGTTATGTGTACACTACTTATGTGAAAAAAAAAATGCTAAATTATCAGATAAGATTGTGGACCATAGATACAAACTGGGACTGTCCTTGGCACATTGCTACATGCAGTCATTTTACCTATAATTGAATTGTTAGGTATTGAAAGGAACTTGGCAGCCTTCTTGGAAATCCAGACAGATTAATTGGAATCCCTCATTTCTGTATCAAATATTTATTGTGTACTATAATGTGTCGGGCACTGGACTAAATGGTAGTGGAAAATAGGTGAGGACAATATTGTTCTCAAGTGTCTGCTGTAGAGTAAGAGAGACAGTTGTAAGTGGGAAGTGTGACTATAAGGGTAAGGTCAACAGACACATCTCCTGGCCCACCTGACGCCCTGTGCCTCCAAAGTTCCTCCAGTGCCCAAACCTTCCTGGCTTTTTGGCTTCCAACTGGCTTGTAGGAACTGTGCTATGAACCCCCTCCCACTTATCAGTTCCTCTGTCTCACTCTCAGCTTTGAACTCTAAGATGCAGTGCTGGGATGAAGACTCAATTTCCTGCACTTTCGTGACTATTTCCTTAGAACGTATTTCTAGAAGTAGAATTTCTAGACCCCAAAATAGCAAAGCTTTCAATGAAGTTTCCTAAATTGCTAGAGATGTTAATTCACATATCTGCTCCAAATAGAAGTTCCCCACTTTCATAACCTCACCAATAATTTCTTTAAATGTTAAACAATCGTGTTTTTAATTTGCTTTCTTTATATTGCTAGTGAAATTAATATAATACATATATTTCTCATGAAAATACCACTGAAGAAAATGATCCTTACCATTTTGTTATGCTTTTTTTAATCTTTACATGCATTTAATATAGTTGAAGACATAGTATACATATAATTTTATACTTTTTTTTTTTGTACCGGAATCAAACTTGGGACCTTGGGCTTGCAAAGCAAGCAGTGGAACAACTGAGCTAAATCTCTGGCCCTGTACTGTTTTTTTTTAACCTTTCGAAATTATTATGAGCATTGTGTCAGCCTCTTTAAAACTATTATTTTTAGTTTTGTTTTGTTTTTTGTTACTCGGAATCAAACTCAGGTCCTTGCGCTTGCGAGGCAGGTTGCAGAACCACTGCGCTAAATCCCCGGCCCTAAAGCTATTATTTTTAATGGCTGCATACTCAAATAGCTTACACAGACACCCTTATATTTGTAATTTGTATTTGTATTTGTAATTTCTCTTTTCCTGTGCATGCAGTTCTTTCATTGTTTACACTCTAAGGAAAACTAAAGGGAATAGACTACTTTTCTCTACTATATCTTCTATTTTCTTCTCTCAGGAAGCACAAAGCCCCCATACTGGCCTAAACCAATCTATGATCTGGATAGAAACAATGTAGAAAACAATGGCTTCCTCAATGATGACTTCATTGTCTGGATGCGGACAGCTGCCTTTCCCACATTCAAAAAACTGTACCGTAGACTCTATCGAATTCACTATTTTACTGAAGGTTTGCCTGCTGGTAATTACAGTTTCAATATATCCTATAGTATCCTTTTATGCCACTTTTACTTTTCAAGCTAAAGGAAAATCTGGCTACTAGTTATTAAACTATTTCATTCCCTTCTCTGTTCTCCAACCAAATATTTACATCAAAAAATTGTAAATTCTCTTATAAGCAATACTGTGTAGAGGAGGAAAATAATTATCCTCTACTTTCGTAGGGTCTCCAACTGGGACTAACATAAGACAGATCAACAACATATGAAATTTTTACTTATATCTGGGAACCTTTAAAAGAAAAATGAACACCCAGAGAAGTGACCTATCCTAAATATATATATATATATAGACACTAGGTTGAAAAGAGTAGCAATTACAGGAAGGTAATTAAAAGTTAACAGTCTGAGTTTGTTTGCACAGATTCTTCTTGGCCTCAACACCTAATCTCTGGTGATTAAAACATTTTTCTCTTGTAGTAGAAGGAGGTCTTTCACATAGGAATTTTATCTCTTATCTTTGAGAAGAAAATAGGAAGTCAGAATGCCCTTCTTGCACTCCCTGCTTTTCAAGTCCCTTTAACTCAAAATAACATGCCAAAGAGGCATATTTTGGGGTGGCCTCTTCTTAACCACTGTTTGTCTCCACAATATATGCTTAAATGCATACTTTTTTTTTTCTTGGTATCGAGGATGGAACTCAAGGGTTCTTGCGCCTGCGAGGCAGGCAATGGAAACACTGAGCTAAATCCCTGGTCCTAAATGTGTACTTTTAAAAAGAAGGAATAACCATTACTAGCAGTCTCAGGTAAAGAATATTATGGATAAATATAGAAGGAATATTCCTGTTTTAAAGAAAAACTACATATAGTGAGCCTAAAGATCTAAAACAGTGAAGAAAGAGAAGTATATCATTTAGGATAGGATAAGATGAAGAATCATGAAAACAGAGAAAAAGAGTTTGATAAGAGGTAAATTTGGAATATGGACTAAAATTGGCAGGAACTGCAAGATATTTTAGAATATTTTATTCTAGATGAAAGTATCATAGATCAATGAATCCATGGGCTCAAGAAATATGTTCAGTTAATCCAACCCATGCCAAGTACACTACAAGCTGTACAATGAGGATGCCATATTCCTCCTACCCTTAGGTACAGAACCAGCAAATAATGCCTTAGTAATGGAAATATGGTCCAAGTTAGAAAACATATGCTTTAATAAGAGATTATGAATTTTTCATTGAATTTAAAAATAGAAGTATGGGTCAATTTAAAAGCAAAAAGGATTTAAACTTAAAATGACAACAAATACTTTTGATAAGAAGTTATATACTTAAACATAATTTATACCCACTCCAGTCTGTAAAGTTAATTTTTAAGTCTCTGATTATCCCCCAGGCAAAAATCTCTTGGAGGCAGAATCTTTTCCAGTTTGTGTACATCTTTGAAACTTCACCCAGATTGGGTATCAGAGCTTCTTATTCAGTGGAACTTCCAACAAGCCTGAGGTTCTTAACACAAAATTGTTCACCTCCTTAATCTCATTACCCCCAGTGGAGGTTGAATGGGAAATGTCAAATATGAATGAAACATGAAGCATGTGTTCTGGTTCCCCACTACATGTTTTCTTCTTCATTGCCTAGAGTAGGGGTGTGGCTATCTCCATCTGACAGGGGAATGGGGCATCTTTTCGTACTACTTTGCTGTTAGCGGGGTCTCTAAATCTATTTTATGAAAATAAAAGCCACAAAATGCCTCAATATAGGTATTGGTCAAAGAGCAAATTGTAGATTACCTCTTGAAGGAAATTTCAATGAACCCCTCTCTCCCTCAAGAAAATTTAAGTATAGGTTGAAAATTGTTAACAACTGTCTCTCAAGTTGGACTTTCTAACTCCATCCACTTTGTGACTGCCTTATCAGTAACGCAGTTATAGCTGCATTCAAGAAATGGGAGAAAAGTCATGCACTGCTGTCCTCACAGTGCATTGCAATAAAGTTTGGTTGGGGATGAGAAAAGAAGGCTGTGTTCCACATGAAAGGCACTCTGTTTTTCCTCTCTGAACTTGCTCTTTGTTGTACCTTCATTCACAGTCATGCTTTAATGTTGAGCACTCTCAAAACTAGATCTCCATACAGAACTGTGGTCCTGAATTTCAGTCCTACACTTCTTTCTCCTGTGTGTAGCCCTGGTATATTACCCAACTAGCCAAATGTCAGACTGCCAGGCAAGAAAAACCAAGCATGCGCTACAGACAAGTGCCTACCCCTTCTAAGCGAGAAAAACTGCTTGGTAGGTAAGGGAAAGGGACCCTACCTTTCAAAAGGAAGTGAGAAACAACACACTTGGGCAGATGAGTTGGGGTGGCATTCTAGGGCCTAGTGACAATGAAGAATTCTGATGTAAAAGAAAAAGAGAGCTAGTTTCCTAACAAGTTGTTTCCTCACATCTCTAGTCTCTAAATAGCTTGTTTCCAAGTGATTTAAGGCATTTTAAGAGCTTTGCTGGGAAATGTCTCTGTCCTCTGTTGTTGCTACGAGAAGCCTTTGCTTATTAGTTCTATTTACAAAAGACCAGATGTTTAAAAACCTCAGGCCACAGCATAATCAAAATGACATCATTAAAACACTAATGATAGCAAACCCACTTCAAATGCATTCTCCCCAGCAGCAAGGATGTGAGCCATTTCAAAACCCAAACAAATGTACCAACTTTGATTTTCCACCAAAAATGTTTTTTCACTATCCTATTATCTATCCATCCATCCATCTATTTATTTTTGTTCTTCATTCTTCCTGAAAAATTTTCCCTGAAGTAGAAACTCAAACTTTAACCTATTAGGAAACTTAGTCTTCCCTGAGTCTACCGATTAAAAAATAAAAATTTAGGTTTGCTATAAAACCTATCTATATTAACTCCCTTGGATTCATTAAGAAAAATTATTTATTATTTCATTAGTTAGCTGTCTGTAAGTCGTTCAGATCTATCTGTATCAGAATCTCTTGTCAATTAAAATGATGTATAGTGAAGGCTTGTTTTACTTAATTTTATTCTACCAGGATACAAAGTATTATTTTTTTAGGTTAAACCACATGAGATTAAATATTCAACCATTTTCTAACTACCAAAAGAGCAACTTTATATGGTTTAACCTAACATAATTGGTATATGCAGTGGGGAAGATGAGAAGTGCTAAGACATGTCCTTAACACATTTTCTTAGATTTTCCAGTAACAAGGTTCCATGGAGAAAAATCCGTTGTTCTTTCCACCCTGACATGGTGTGGAGGTGGTGGCTTTTTCTTAGGAGTTGCCTACACAGTGACAGGAGCACTGACATGGTTGGCCTCCTTTGCCTTAATGGCAGTTCACTTGATGTGGAAAAAAAAGAAAATCGCCTACCAAAAGAAAAGTTATGCTTTAAGAAGAAAAACGGAAAACAGAAATGGACAATGAAGTAACAGGCAAAGAATTTCTGACGTGGCTTGAAATGACTGAGATATTTCAAGGAGGGGAACTGGATTGACTGAACAAATACAATCCCAGAAAAATAAACAATGAGAATTTCAGAGGTGGGGAGGGCTGAAAGTAGAAGAGGAATAGAAGGTGGGAGGACGAGAAGGAGAAGGAATATTTGTATGTAGTAAAATGTTCTTGGAAAGGAAACAATAAATCATCCTGAGTTCTAAATTAAGTCTCAGCTATTTATTTGAAGTCCGTGTGCCTGAGAGCAGGTGAATGGCCAAGAACAACAGCATTAACAGACAAGTGTAAGCAAGACTAGGATGTCCAAATTCAGTGAATGCTTTCAACTATCCGATTGGGTTCAGACTATTGGCTGAAACTATTATGGCCTTCCCAAGGAAATCGTTGAACTGAGCATCAGAATGATTTTTGAAATTTGATTTATTCAATGTTTTCTTCTATGGAGTCAAAAACTAAGTTTTCTCTGCTAAGAATAGACCAAGTGGGCTGCAGATTTAGCTCAGTGGTTCTGCCGCCGGCTTTGCAAGTACAAAGTCCAAGTTTGATTCCCAGTACAATAATAATAAAAATAATAGTAATAATAATAATAATAATAATAATAATAATAATAATAAACCAAGTAAAGGTGATGGCAATACCCTGAGCACTCAAAATACAACAGTACACAAAAAGGAGAGGCCAAGTCTTCTTATAGCTGTCTTATGTCCAGGAGGGAATCATTGAAAGTTACTGACTCAAAAATTGTGTTCAGCATGTTAAAGGTGCAAAACAATTCTAGTACTTATAATGGGATAACATACTCTAGAATACAAATGATGACATGGATTTATGATACTTGAAATATATATGCTGAGGGAGCATCTCAAGTTCCATCTTTTAAAAGTGTTTAATTGCTGCCAAAGTCACTTACAGGAAACTCGACTAGAAAGCTTAATAAACATGCCAGGGCACAAAGACTTGTGTCCCTAGATGACAACACGATTTTTTGTGTGTGTGCTAGAAATTGAACTCAGGGCTTTGCATATGCTAGGTAGGTACTGTACCATTGAGCTACATCCCCAGCCCCAAGGAAAATATATTTTGAAATATTTTATATTAATTTTTGAGGAGAAAAAGACTTACTCTGTAATGACTCTAAGAACAGATTTGCCATGTTTAACAAAAAACAAAAAAATACAGTACCAATAAATTTGTCTCTTTACATCCAAGAAAGCATTTCTTTATTGCATATTTCTGCATTCACCAAATAATAGAGTGCTTTTTAAAAGATGAAATGGTTTAACTACTAACTCTGAAATCTTAGACTCCTTCCCCACCTCAGCTCTCATGTATAACCAATTATTTGTGGTGACCCTGTGTACCAGCTAAATAATGTCCACTGCTATGGTTTGCATCTAGATGCCCCCCCAAAGCCTCAGAGAGTTATAGGTGGGGCTTTTTGGAGGGGGCTGGATTTCAGGTGTGTGATGCTGGGATCAAAGATAAGATGCTAGGATTAAGGGTATGAGTGCTACATGGATAAACTATAACCCTACATAAACTATAAGAGACAGAAAGAAGGCTACTGTTGTTGTTTGTTGCTAGTTGCTTGCTTGCTACTTGCTGCCTTCTGCCTACCCTGCTTTGCCCTGGACTGTTTATCCTCTACAGTGCCCCTCTGCCATGCTATCCTGCTAGCTATGGACTGAAACCTCTATGAACTATAAGCCAAATAAACCTTTCCTCTTTTAACTTTGGGCATCCAGTATTTTGTCTCAGCAGTGAGAAAATCAACCAAGATACCCATCGTCTCCAAAGATATCCATATCCCAATCACTGGAACTTGTAAACACTACTGTATACATATCAAAGAAGACTTTGTGTTAAGTGACAAAGGGTATTGATATGACACAATTATCCTAAATTTTCTGGATGATCCCATTGTAATCATGAAGATCCTTATAAGAGGGAAGCAGAAGATCAGGAAGTAGTGCTTGTGACAACAGAAGCAGGAGGTAGGAGTGATGGGAGGAAGGAGCCATGACCCCAAAAATGTGAAACTAAAAAGAACGGCCTCCTTGAAACATTCAGAAGCACAATCAATATCTTGATTTGACATCCAGAAATACATTAATAAATTTATGCTGTTTTAAGTAAAGAGTATGTGGTGATTTGTTATAGTAATGATGTAAAATGAGTACTCTAAAGATTGGCAATGCTCTAGGCATCTGAGCAATAGTTTCTTGGGTGTAGGTGACCTATCCAGGACATAGCACAAGGGAGTGACAGAATTTCTGCATGAACCAGGCCTGCTGACTTAAGATCCTGGGATCTTGGCCTTTTGGTCCATACTCCTTAGTTATTGTGCTGATTAGGAAAGACAAGATTACATTTGCTGTATCTCAGCCTTGTTTGTCCATTTACCTGGTGCTGTGTGAGTGAGTGTTCTATATAAATAGGACAATTAGGGTGAAGGAGAGAGAGAGAGAGAGAGAGAGAGAGAGAGAGAGAGAGAGAGAGAAAGTATGTGCTTGTGTGTTTGATGGGCCATTGGGCATATTTATTTTTTTATTTTTTTTCAGCTTTAATTAAGTTTTATTGGTACATTTTAGGGATGCAGTACAGTTACATTCATTGTTGGGATCTTGTACCTCTACATGACAAGTCTTGGTTCTCATTTTTTCCCCTTGTCCCTGCCCTCCCTTCACCCCCTTCCCTTCCCCATCTACAGCCACTTTATTTCCATCTTTTCATTATGTCACATTTTTTTCTTTTCCCTTTTTACCCTTCCCCTACCCATCCCACCTTCCCTACACCTTTAGCTCCTTTCTTCCCATTTCTCAATGTCAGTAATCTTATTAGGATTGTCTGTATTATTGCAGATTATTCACACAAGGAAACTATTCGGTATTTACACATGTGTGGGCATATTTATTTTTAAAAATCATATGATTGTGGAACTTGATAGGTCTAAAATCAGATAGGTAAGGCCTGCTCAGGAAAGAGCTACATTTCTAGAAAACCAGAAGAGCTGATGTTGCAGATGAAGTCTAAAAATAGGGTGCTGGAGAATTCCCTCTGTTTATAAGCAGGTCAGCCTTCTGTTTTATTTAGGTCTTCTTACATCAGGAAGAACAATCTGCTTTACTCTAAGTCCGTCAAGTGAAGTGTAAATCTCATCTAAAACACCTTCACAAAAACATCCACTACAATATTTGACCTTGGTACCCCATGACCCAGGCAAGCTGCCATACAAAGTTAACCAATAAGGCATTTATGTTCATTCTGTAGTCAAACAGTATTCCAAAACAGCTCTCATCTTTTCACTTTGTGATAGAGTTAGCTTAATGGAAAGGACCTATGCAGAAACACAAGCCATAGTCACAAGAAACTAAACTGAACCTCGCAAGCGCAAAAACCCGAGTTCAATCCCCAGTACCAAAAAAAAAAGAAAGAAACTAAACTGAGAAAAATCAACAGAGTGTAAATTTGCAGTTTTCCCCTCTGCTCTCCCATAAGCCAGTACACTCAAAGCAGTTTGTCTTCATAGGACCTTACCTTTCTATAAAGGGTAGGAGCCATCCTCCTTGATTTTGACAGAGGAAGAGTATAGTAATCCACCACTAATTTGACTTTTCTGATTGTCTTTTTCTTTCCTATTTGACCCCTCTATCCCCAGTCCCAATCATATTTTATTTTCTTTCTCCACTTTTTCTAATTCTTCATTTGTGTGTACCATTGTCTTTTTTCTTTAATTTTGTTTTGTTTCTCAGATGAGGTCTGACTGTGCTGTTCATGCTAGTCTCAAATGCCTGAACTCATGTTATCCTCCTGCCTCACCCTCCTGAGTAGAACTACAGGTGCACATCACTACACCTGGTTCACTTTGGGTTTTTGTGAACTGGATCGTAAAAGTTTGGAAAAAGTGGGTGATAGTCTGGTGCAATAATGTTGGAGAAAAGAGAAAAAAGTAAGTGTGAGATCAAGAGAAGAAAACAAAATGAGTGAAAGCTTATGAGTGCATGCTTGAGTGGATGGGTGTGTATGAGAGTGACTGTTCAGAATTTCAGGATTTTAAGTGCATTGGCAAACAGTAAATATAAAACTGAGTAAGATGAAATGATGAGTGAATAAGAGTATAGAGTTGACCTTTACTGAAATTTACTTATACAACCCCTGTCTTTTGTGACAAATTCACAATGCTGAGGATATCAACATAAGCCAGCTGTGATTTGGGCTGTGAAGGGATCCCATCTCACACAGATCTTTGTGTCTCTCTATACCTGCTCATACTCACCCCACCATTTTGCATGATACCATATTCTCCCTATTTGGATATTTGTCAGTTTTCTATAGGTCAGTTTGGCTTCTCCAAATGGAGAAAAGAAATGCTCCCACAGGGCAGGATCAGGCTTCCAACTTTCTCTGTGTAATCCCCAAACAACTGTATCAGAACACCCACTGACTTGGACAAAACATCATCTTCCCCAGCCTGCAATAATGCCTTCCAAATGAATGCTGGTTTTTCATCCGCTGTGTTTCATGGTATAGAAATGTTATTAACCAAATGTTAAAACCAGCTTCAGACAGCTGCTTGGTGGTTTTCCTCTGCATTGTGTCCAACAGGATTCCATAGCACTGTTGCCTGTGGTTGTCAACATTTTTGTCTCTGGGTGTTCAAAAGTAACTGTGCTGCTGAGTAGTTTCTGCTGGTTTCTCTGCCAGATAAGACAAAGGAAGTCCCTTCCTCCTTCTCAGAGCCAGGAGAGTCACTCAGGGATTCAGCTGTAAGTCTCTTCACCAGGACTGGTTCACAGTTCCTTTGCCGCTCAGATTTGGTTTGGCAAACACAGGTTCCTAAAACTTTATTCTCCTTTCACCTGGCTTCAGTGCCAATACTTTATTGACACTTCATAGTTACATGCACTTGAAGGTACGTCAGGGACCCCACTCTTTTTTTTTTTTTTAATCTCAACCTTTTCCTCCTTAAAAAGATTATCTGGTAAAATGATTAGAAGGGAAGAAGGTAAAATTATGATATGTGAATTATAGTGATTCCGAACAGCAGAGCCAGCTCATTTAGAAGGGAGGAAAAAAAACTTTCTTGCAAAGATTGAGGCTTGTACAATATCCCCATTCTAATCCTGTGGCAGCCACAAAATGATTCAGAGCTACTCTGACAAATGCAGGAATTCCTCAAAGTCTGAGAAATGAAATATTGTCTA